GAACTCTTTAAAAACGTAGATTTTGTTCTTGTTAATTGTGCTTCGCTGTGAAATAATAACTACTTTTAAGAATTTTGTCAGTAAAAGATTGGGTCGGGGTGAAATAAACATTGTGGAACGAAGAACGCGTTAGATTAGAGATCTACCCAGCAATTTGATCTGGATCTAGTTTGCTGAACTTGAAACCTGGGAGGTTGACAATAAGTAGACCCTAGGTCAGAAACGTTGGGAGCTGCTCGTATCTATAGGGTGATTTAAATTAATGTTAGCAAGTTTGACAAACAGAACTTTAAACAGTGAATTTGGTATTGAAATAAAGTAGGTATGTGAACATTACTTAAAAATACGAGAAATTATTAAAAATATAAATATTAAAAATGTAAATAGTCTCAATATTTGTATTATATTATCAAATATCGAATAAAATATGAAAATTCTATTCAGATTTACAAGGCATTTATAATACAAACAATTATGTTAACGTGTTTCATTAAACGTATATGTAACATTTAATTAAAAAATTCGATATAAATATAATAATGAACAATAATTTAATCTCATTAGAATTAACACAAATAAATTGTAAAACAAACATTTGTAAAAAGAGATTCTATCGGACAGGCTCCCCTTCGCTAACTGTTTTTCCATTTCAATTTTCAGTAGAAAAACAACAATGTTGCGTATCTGTTTTTTAAATCACCCTGCACAGCGACAAGCCCAATAGAGAATCTTTAATCTCGAGTCGGATCGAATACAGGGAGGGGAAAAACGAGGGACGCTCGCCGCACTTTCTGAGGATTATGCGCGCGGACGAATTTTAAAATCCTCCGGTGGCATTGTCGGTGGAAGCGAACGAGACGTTCCCGGAGCTCCGTATGTTTTCGCGCGAGCTGAATAAACCCGGTACGGTACAAAACGTATAAACTTCTCAAACCGGGAACGACCAAATAATCGTATCGATACTGTACGGATAATACCGAAATTCCATAATATATAACGTGGTGTGAACGAGGCCTTAGCTCCGTAACTCCGATCGGATTCTCGAGTTCGTTTGTCTGAATACGTAAATCCGGATGATAATAATTTATCGAAAGACCCTTTTTTACAGGGCCGTCGCGGCCGGGAACATCTTTTTCGTCGGCGGAGCGCGGCGTTCAACGTCCACGGTGGCAAGAATTAGTCGAGCCTTTAGAAATGTTTCATTTTGTTTGTCGTTGCTGGACCAACATGTTACATAGGTTTATCGGCTCCATTGTGGGTCCCCGATTTTATCGAAGTTTATCGATGAGATTGCGTGGTTCCCTCCGATCATACGGTCCGGCCATGAAACAATATAAATAAAGTTCAGTGTTAAGTCACCTCGTAAATTTACGACTGCGACCAATAAAACCAATGTTTATATTGATAACGAATCAATTGTTTAAAAGAACACACTAAAATGAACAATAACGTTTTAATGAAAGTTAAACGATCGACAGGTGAAACTTCAGGTTGCGATCCCTATGCTTAAAGATAAAAATCACATACACATGTGGTGAATATATAGTTTATAGAAAAACTGAATTGTTTACGTCTATAATGTAACAAAAAATGGTTTGAAATCTGACTAAAGTGAATCAAACATTTTATAATATATATAATTAAAATTGACAAAGCAAAGAAAGCAATTATTAGCAAATATAATACCTAATTATCAAGAAAACTTGGGAGAGTTTTTGCCGATCGATAGAAGCGCATTTCTTTATTCAAATGCGAGATTGCGGAGTATGAGAAATTTATGAGACAACGCTGTGCCTCGAACGAAGGTGCGTTCTGTAAAAAAGATTCAGTCCGCTGAATATAAGTATTTGAAAGTGATGCATTGTTTGATGGGAAGGATTGATTTTCAAATGCAGGAACGGGGCTAGTCTGAATTCTAATGGTAAAATCTGCTCGCAAATTATTATTATAATGAGAACCGTAAGGGATTGCGTGTTGTCCGTAAATTTCACGCTATAAATTCAATCGCGCACCCCTATTATAGAGGGTTGGGTCGCTCTCAGGCTTAGGTAGACAGAATATAAACTAGATCTAGGCCAAATCCGTCCGAACCCTGCGCTTCTGCGACACAATCGCGATGGTAACGTACTTAAACAAACTATGAGAAAGCCCATCTGATGATATTTTTTCACTGAATAACATTTAACGAACGGGGGAACCTTTTCAATTTAATGCAACAATTATTTCTACAAACTTGTTCTAACGTCGCATAAGAAGCTGAAATATTTTATGTCCCGGTACAGATAATTTTATACAATTTATTTTGATATTTATACGGAGGAAAACAGGCAATAGACTTTTTAAGACTTTAATTTTACATGTATAAAGAATATAAAATAAAATAACTGGTAGATATTAAAACTGAGGTATATATTTACGTAACACAGAGTTCGCTGTTCTAATTTCTAACATGTTTAGAATATTTACTGTATGATATTCTGTATAACGATTTCATAACGATTAAAATACTTTGTGATAAATGATTATTATTAATGGACTTATTGCAAGAATAAAGAGCGTGAAACTTTATTAATTATGGTTAAAATTTTACTTATCGAGAGTTGAAATTTGATTTCAAACCTAGAATATTATCGATCTTTTCACAAGTGCACCGCCCCGAAACTCGAAACTTCCGCACGGAACAGAATGAAGCTTTTTCTGTCCTACTTATCCTGTTCCGTAAAACTTAGTGCAGAGAAAAGTCTTATAAACCAGACGAACAAGAGAATACGTGTATTTTCCAAATATTAAAGATTAATATTAAAATTTTATTTACTGCGTTACAATTTATATTCTAAACGGATAGACATGTAATAGAACAACAGAAATCCGTGACTATTTAAGTTTTAAATAATAGCAATCAGAAAATGTTCAATCTGATACGCTCGAATAGAAAATTTTAAATTAAATAAATTTAGTTATGTGATATATTACGCAAATTAAAATTCTAAAAAAAGAGTACACTTTTGTCGGAAGAAATAAAAAAGTTATTTCTTATAATTAACTTGCAAATTGTTATGTTTAAAATAATTTATTCTCCGACGATAATGGTAACATTTAAAATCACGCTTTGTGGACATCTAGTAGCTTCAAATTTCGAACGCTAATGCATCGAGCTAATCTGTAAACGTAAATAATGATATCTTTTAATCCGATCCAAATCCTGATCATTGTCAAATTGTTACGAACGGCAGATGCGTCGAAAAGTTCTTTTCCTATTAGACGCAACTGACGTTAGTACTCGTACAGAGGGATAGAAAAAATCGGATTAGCGAAATAATCCTTTTACCGGCTCAAAATCTTTTTCGAGGAGAAAATGTGAAATGTAAACCTGAGTGAGTGCATTGGGAAATGCAAAAAGTACGTTTTTCAGGTCCAAGTGCTTTGAGGATCATCTGCATAATCTGCGAACTCTACAAGTAACGGATTACGTTGCAACGAGATATTTTTAAGTACAATCAGTAAAATCTAATGTTAATTTTAAGCGTTAATTGAAAATGTAATATTTGCTTCGATTACAACCTTTTTCATTTTCCATGCGTCGCACGTTAATAAGTGAATAAAATAAAAAAAAATTAAATATAGAAGAATAAGTGTTTTGTTATACAGCATGAATGATAGTAACAATAAGGAACATTAACGTGAATTTCTTGGTGTGATTGTGTATCAATTGTTTTGTAAACAAGGAAACAAATAATAAATGAAGAATTACATTTATTGTTAAAAACTTTCCCCTTTATAAGTACTATAGAACAATTATTAATAAAGAAATTATTTTCTAACTGCGGAAAGGTGCCAATCGTTGACCATTAAACAACTCTATATTTGTCAATAAACAGAAGTAAATAACATTGCTGACGGAATTCAACAATTGAACCATTGAAACAATGGATATACAATATGTGTAACCTAGTAATCAAAGAAATGCAATTACAAGCTAGTAATGTACTTGTAGTATTGATAAAACACTTGCGTTCCAGATTCTCGATTTATTTATTACCAATACAGCTTTGGAGTTTTTAATACGTAAGATCAGCTTTATCAAAGACATTCTCGCTAATTTATTGATTCATTTCCACAACACTGGAGACATATGTGCATCATCTGGTTATCCACTTGTACCGATAATAAGACATATTGAACATCTTTACACTTCCATAAATTGAATTTTATGGAAATGTTCAGATGAAAGGAACGTTAAATTATATCCAAAACATCATATTCCTAAGTGGGTCAATACTTATAATCTGCAGAACACATTCGATTACCTAACCCTTATTATACATTTACATCATATATGTGTGTGACAATAATAAATCACAATACATTTTCATATCAGCCTCAACTATCGCACTAAAAAAAAACACATAAATTAAGAAACCTATATTCAACCAATTTATACAAGATCCTACAAATCAGATCTGTGTCAATACATTTATTCGCAATCATAAATTCGTACATACTAAACAGTTTACCAAATTCACTTTTCTTTTATAAACCTAGAACAAAACAAGCTCATTCCATATTTCTCCGTTTTTACCCCACGATCTCCAACAGGCTACATTCAAACTTCTCAATAAACAGACATTCTCAACGACCATAAAATTCAATTTTCCATCGTAAAATTATTTTAAAAAAAGGGGTATTCCTAACAGAAACATTTACCAAAGGAACGACGAGACAAGAGGTTCAAGCATGGTTCGTGAATCTACAATATTCGTGGCAAGCTACGTTATAAAAGTCTCCAAACAATAATTCACTGGTGAAACATTGCCCGCCGATAGACTCCGTGCGTAAAAGTAAGAGCGTGCGCGCGACCGCGCGTGCGCTCTCGCATGTACGCAACTGGCACACGCTCCCCTCGGCATATGGCGCATGGTTAGGGTCCCCCTTTTCAATTCCGGGGGAGAAGAAACGAGGGGGCTGCGGCGCGTGCTCAAAATCCCCACCACCTTTTCCTCTTCGCACAACACGCGTCCGTCTCCCTTTCCGTTTTCTCTCGTCTCCCTCTCGCTGAGTCCGTCTACACTCGCTTCCTCTTTTTCCTTCTGTCCCTCGGTAGGTCCTAATTCCCCTCGCACCATCCCCGAGCCGCCCCTCATCTTCAAACCGAGCCCACGTCACTCTATACTGCGGCAAAACGCTGAAACGTAACCCATCTATCGGATGTCCGCGCTCATTCTGAACGCGGACGCCATGCGGTGCGTAGCACGGAGGTCTGATCACGAGCTGCAGGCATTCCTCGCGAACGGTTTCGTGAAAAAGTGACACCGACCCGTCCGAAGCAGCCCCCGATAGCGCGAAGGAATTCGAACGGGGCCGAGTAATCCGCTGGTGAACTGGAGGGACACGGTTTCGCGGAGAAACGGAACCAGGATCGTGCTATGATCGAATACGCGCAAGTCTGACCTTGGTAGTCCATCGGTAGCGGTTCGAAGAGAAGTCAATGGAAATTGTGGAAAATATTACTGAACTCGGGATCTTGTCTTGAAGGTGTTGATATTTACCGAGTGCGTTCGATCCTTTAAGGGTTGAAGACGTCTGTGGCGCGTGCTTACCCCCACTATCACTCCCGTTCTCACCTATCGTCCTCTATCTTCCGTGCGAGCAGCCGACAATGTCACTCCGCAGACAACTGAATCGACCTTTCCATTGAGGATCTGAGATGGCCGGTTCCGTTGGAGGAATTTTGATCGATGGCGAACGCGTATGAGTATTTGAGTTTGAACGTGACAGTGCGAAGCGTTTCGCGTAGTTAGACGAAGAAGCTACTGTGGGAATATTCGAATTCGAATTATCGATGTCTCGGCCGCTCGAACTGTAATAGATTCGTGCCTTACACTCGACCAGCGGATGACCTTAGACGTACGAAGGAGATTGGTTGCAAGTGCCTTAATAACAGTGCTAAGACGTGAACGACGTTTGTTTGTGTCGTTGTAGATCATTAAGGTCGTTTGAATCTTCTATTTGGAATTGTTCCGAGTGTTCTGCTTCTGGTGCTGTTATATACGAGAATCGTTAGTGTTACCGGGTTCGGCCATCGCGCGCCGAGGCCGGAATTTCGTCCAAGTTTTTCGATGCACGGATGGGATTCGACGATACTGGCATTAAACGTCGCGATCGTAAAAGTGGCGGGCGATTCGAAGAAATTCTGAAGAACAATTTCCAACGAAGTCGACGACCGAGCGGAGATGAATAGACGGTGACCTCATGCTTTACTTAACTCTTAACCGGCAGCGAGACAATTGGATCTTGGTTCGGGTCATCAGCTTCGTCGTTTGGCGCGGAGGACGTGGTCCGTTGATACCTAAAATCTATCATGTGTTCCAACAATTGGATAGCTGAAGCTTGATGCAATATTACGATTCAAACGAACCTACGGATAAATAACACACCAGCAGATTCCTTGATCACATTGTTTCGGCTAGAAACTTAATCATTTTTATATTTCCACGAAGAACCGGTCTGAATTCAATATATGAGCAGCATTGTTATAGGACCATAACTCCCGAAGTGCCTTACGATCTTCATACATCTTCTGACCCAGATTTAAGCTATAAATCGAACGGTCGTCCAACTGTCTGCATCGATGGTAGTTACGATGATCGAGGGAATAGCGTGTTATTTATAATTCCGCCAATTAGAGCCGTCCTCGAAAATCATTAGAGTCGATAAACCATCTATCGTCTTGAATTCTGTCTTTACAAACTTCTTCCCGAGCTCTCGCTGTCGAAGACATCAAGTTTCGATAAAAATTCATTGAAATCCAAAAAGACTTGATTTAGACCGGACTTGTGAATGTCTTTCTGGCTGCTAATTGTTGACAAGAAGCAGTCATCACGATGACGACTATGGGTGTCACTGTATTCTGTAACAGGGTGCAGCTGAACGGCAGCGATCAGGAGCAAGTGATGCTACTCAGAACGCTCCAGGACAACGAGAGCAATATTATAGGCAACCAACCGCATTTAATCGTCCCCAAGAATAATAACAATAACAACAATATGAATTCCAATTCGGTTTTGCCGCCTTACGATCCATCGAGGCTGAAGAAACATGGGAAAAACGGTCAACCGCCGCCGGTAGCAGTGGCCAGGAGGAACGCTCGCGAGAGGAATCGAGTGAAACAAGTGAACAACGGGTTCGCGACGTTGAGACAGCATATTCCTAGCCACATCGCAGCAGGATACGGAGATAGAGGGAAGAAACTGTCGAAAGTGGAAACCTTGAGAATGGCTGTGGAGTACATCAGGGGATTGCAGAGGTTGCTTGCGGAAGCGGACGGTGTCGAATACGATAACAATGTCGGTGTCGGCCAGTGCATACCATCGCCTACCAGCAGCGTGATTTCATCCAGTCACAACGGGTCCGGAGAAAGACTGATCTTGGAAGATGATGTCCTTGCTGAAGAGGATAACGCAGAACAGTTGGATGATGAGGAGGACCATAGGAAACAGAAGCAGGCTAAGTAATTTACTTAATTACTACCTTGTTATATTATTTCCTTTCATTACTTGTTCCGATCACTTGATTTATTTCATTATTTGTTTACTTTCGTTATTCGAACCACTTATTTGATTTAATTACTTCAAATATCTACTTATTTTATTTAGTCAAGTCGCTTTCATACGTTGTTCCGTGCAAGCTGTGGATTTATTAATTGGTCTCTTGCAACGTTTCTTTCTTTTTATGCTCATCTTTAAATTCTAGTCTGTTGTGGAAATGACAATAAATAATGTTTATATTACCGAGAAGAAACAGAACAGTAATGTAAGATTATTCTTTGAATTTGTTATTCGTTTGAGTTGCAAGATTTTAAGGGTAATAATGTTTGTTCGTATTTCCAGATTATCACCAAGAAGAGCAGTTCCTTCGCCACACGATTATTACGCTTCTTCGATAGGAGATGAAGAGAATCTGGAGCCAAGAACACGATCAAACACGCAGAATTTTTCTCGATTGTCTCCTAATTCGGTGGCTTCTCCATCGGAGTATTACGCGCAGAATGAAGAAAATTTGGAGCCGCAAATCCTCTCGCCGTACAGCGGCGGGGACAGCGAGGAGGGTGCAGCAACCGTTTTCGCGGCCAGTCCGGAAACCTTTTCTGGGGCGCTCTATTATAAACAGGAGATCACTGAATCTGGTGAATTCATGGATGTTGTCAGCTGGTGGGAACAAGAGCAGAACAAGATGGTTCACCAGCAACATACGCAGCGCCTCACGCATGTATGAAAAGGTAAGATTTCTATTTTTCCGTTGGACAGTGTGAATCTTCTAAATGCATAGTTGGATGATGGGGTTTCAGGAAATCAAGCTTACAGTGAAACGCTTAATAATCCAACGAAAACAAATAATTCGTGCATCATGTCAATACCTTCGTATTTGATTCGCTTGCATAATATTCGGTTAAAAGCGACATGTATTTGCCCTTACAATTTGTTACAAGGAAGTGACAAAAGGATCCTGTAATTACAAGGAATGTCTTCCTTTCCGAAGTATAATTACTTTCTCTCAACTTAGTTTCTTCACTTTTTTTCACTATCAAAAGTTTATAGTTCATTAATAGACGAGCCCCACCGTAATTTAACACTTCAACTACCGGATGAGTCGAAATGACCCATTCCTCATTTATTCTTTCACAATAATTGAAAGCATACAAATGCTTCTTCAAAAAATGATTAAAATAGTTGATTTGTTAATGTACAAATTAAAATATAACTTAGCTGACATCGTAATCGACGCATCCTTATGGCCTCTATAAGGAAATGTTTAACCCTTTGCACACGGAAGTGTCTCACTAGAAATATTTAACATTTTTTGACGAGACAAAGAGGATATTCTTTGAAACTAACTCGTACAGAAATAACAAGTACATTGAGGAACGAAGCTATTTTATTCCATTATTTCACATATTGAGGCATCATACAAAGTTCAACATTAAATATTAGATTTTATAGTTTTATTGCGTCGAATCAAGTGGTGACTGAGAGTCACCTTCCGAGTGCAAAAGGTTAAAAATTAATTCAACTGCTCGGTAGTTGTAGTGTTAAGTGGGCTGAAACTGGCGACAGGGATGCTGATCAAAATGCCATGACGCACGTGACAACTACTCCAGAGGAAGCGTTCACCGAGTGGAAACTCGTGTTCGCCGCGCTGCGCTTCCTCTCGAACACGTGCTCGACCGGTGACGCTCCCGAAAATAAACTTTACGCGTTGTAACCACTTTGCGAAGTGTGTGGCGACGTGACACTTGGCTGCGTGTTGTTACTTGGTGCGCTAGACAAAAGTGCCTGTTAACTGAGACCAAACAGTTGACACGTTTCCTTTATACGCAACTGTACCGATTATTTTTTTTTGCTACATTTGTTTACTCATTGATTCGTTTAACGTAACGGGGCGTTACATATTAACCTCTTGTCTTACAATATCGTGTCAGACTCGCGGTGAAGATTTCAAATAGAATTTAACAAATACAAACATCACTTAACTCTTCCAAGTCGAAATTGAATATTATCTTTTTTATTATTAATTGTAATGTTTCTGAGTAAACGTACACATAGAATAAGTGTGAAATTTTCCTCGTTTTCTAGTGAATTATGAACAATGAAATGTTTCTGTTGAGCACAATTGGAAAAGAAATATCGTTCCTAACGATTCATTCTTAATAACAAATTGAACTAGTTAAGTATAGGAACGTATACTATACATATTAGTAATATTCATTAGAGAAACAACAGACTGACATAAAGAACGAGTTTACTGTTAATAATGTCAGTGATATACGTAGTATTTAATATAAAATGCTTTGTTCATATTGAATCAACTCTTCTTACGCTTTCCTTTTAAATTGAAAATTTTCTATGATTAAAATACTTTACTGTGACATTTTGCACGTTCTACAACGTTATTAATGTCAGTTGATCATTATTATTATTATTATTATAACATTGTGTTTTAAATTTTGCAATTATTTATTTTATATTTATTTATTATGATTATTTGCAATATTTAAAAATATTATGTCAATAAATATGTATTACCCGTGTAATTTAAATGACAATTAAATGGTACTTATCTCGTAAACAGAATACAGACAAACGAGGACAAAAGATAAATTTTAATCTTGATCAAATTAAATATGAACTATTTAAATATTTTGTTAACACCAGGTTTACATTTATTGTACAATTTATTCTACCGTTCATTTGGATCGTGGAAATTAAGAATTTAAAAACAGACAATCAACTGCATCGATCAAAACTGATATGAACATTTAGGAAATAATATTTATAAAGTTCAATATGCGTCAAATTTGTACTCTTTTCGCATATTTAAATAGATCAACATATAACCATAAAACCGTACCATCCCTGAGTTACTTTGAAAGAAGTAACTAGTTCACTATGTCATTAAAAGTCTTCCAAAAAGAATTCGTTAAATTTCTCGACTGATAACAAACAAGCCTTCCTATTTAACACTCATGTTGTATTAACTTGTTTACTTTTGACTTGGTTAAGCACGTTCGTGCGTATTAAAGCGCACGGCTGCGAGCTTGCTTCTATCTTGGAGATAAGATTACGCGTAAGTGTACTTGTGCCACTGTTCAAGAAGTGAGTCGCCGTTTGGGAGAACACGTGAGGGAAGGGAAATTTCAAGTTCACGCTAGCTCGATCCACTTCTCTCGGTGCGTTTCGAGGTGATGCTACATCAAAGGCAAGTGGGCAACCATAAACGGAAGTGGTTCACCGTTTTGCCATATGCTAGGTATCCTTAAAATATCTCTCTTCCAGACCTCTCTTAATCTACCGGGGTTTCCAATTGCCCGCCGTTGATCCGTTTCCTCCATTATAGATCGCGCATATGTCGCTCGTGTTCGGTGAAATACTTTTCCATCGATTTTTCGTGCGTTTTCAAAATCGAGTTTTCGTAACACTGGCTTATTCTTGAAACGTAACACTTTCGTCATTAGCGCTTATTTTGGTGACGGTTTTCTCAATTATATTTTCTTTAATCCAATAAATCTTTTAAAGAAAATATTAGAAAAATGAAACTGGAATGGGCATTGAGTTCTTAAATATTGTATAATGTCGTAGTTTATAATTTTTAATAATAATATCTATAGGATTCATTTCATTTTCATTATGTAATATATAGGATTATGGCTGTTAGAAATATGTGACGCTGGTAGCGAATGTGTTAAATAGAATCGTGTATGCATTTTGTAGATTCTTTGAGTGCAATTTTCATACGATGTATGAAGATTTAATTTTTCAATGAATTCAATGGTTCCTTAAGTTAGTATGAAAAATTGAAATATTAATGAGATCCTAACAATACGCGTATTTTACAATTTTATCGAAATCAATTGAAATTGTTTGAAATCAATCGCTGCTAACCATTTTTAACTATATTGATTGAAATTATACTAATTTGTAATTTACATTCTTACAAACGAAACTCATAATAATAAACTGTGATTATAATTTTAATGTTCCGGGCAAAAAATAAAATTGAGTTCGTGGCTTTAAATGCATAGTATGTACAGAGTAAAAAAGGTAACCTTTATTTCTGGATTTTAATATGGTTTCTTTTTTAAATATGTTCATCCCGTGTGAATGAATGAAATTAAATTAGATTAAATTCAATGAAGATATAACCAACTACATTGCATTCATTTTTACTGTTGAACATTTTTATATATTTAATTAAAATAATCATTGGAGATATTAAAAAGCCAGGAGAAAAGTGATGTATTGAAAGAAACACAACGGTGATGGCCGCGCGGCTAACAGGACGATATCAACGTGACCGGGAGCCAAGGAACGAATTTATTAAATTAATTTGCCGCGGCGACGCATCTCGTAAATTTCGTAGATGACCTCACTTTATAATTGTCGAGAATTGCTCGGTCGGTCGTTCGGTCTCGCGTGAGACATGCTGCTCCCTAGGATGTACATTTTTATTGGTACTTTCTTCAAGAACTACGCCTCTGGTATTCCGAAATTTCTCGTGAAACGATTCCCGGCGCATCGGCCATAAAAAAAGGTGGCCTGGTTATTGCCAGAAGCGGAACATTATTTTAATTTGTATGATTGACGAAGGGAATTCGTTTTAAAGCCGCGGCAATTGAACGAGATGACAGAGAAAAAGAAGAAAAGGGAGCTTTATACGCGCTCCGAGGGATTGTAAACATGTTACTCGTTTCTCTTGAACTTGAATTGAATTAAAAGAATCGAGAATGCATGGGAATCGAGCGTGGAAAATTGTGAATCATACTGTATCCTTAATAGACCGTGTACGTTTATGCAGGCGTACATTTTTCTGGATCAATTTCGAGAAATTGAAAACTATAAAAGATTTTTTAACTTTATTAATAGTTGTAACACATTTCAAGGAAGATGAACATTTTGTTGAACTCTCTTTTACCTTGATGCCTTACTATACCGAGTTTCAGTAGATTTTAATCGCTATAAATGCATAAAATTTATTATGAACCGTAACAACGATGCTTCGATTGAAACAATGGTATGCAATACCTTAAAAGTTATCATTTGAAAATATCTCCCAAGTTTTTTAAATTGACAAGTAGGATTTTTCACAGACTATAACGATTGATTTTAGTTTAGCAGTGTTTTATAAAACAAGAAATAAAAACGATATTTATTAAAAGGCAGAGGTATTCTCCAGTTTCCTTTGTGACATATGGTATTCGTTCACTCGTACTTCTTAATCTCAGTGCTGGCCACATGGCAACGAAAGTCTGCTTTTTACAGTGGCTTTTTGAAAAGAACTTTTTAGAGAAATATCAATAATAGAAATTTACGTATCATCTCGTATCTTTGAAGTATGATATATATTTAAACACTTTGTTTACATATTGGTACATAAAATGACTCGGAGTAACTTAGAGATCGTTCGAGAAACGTATCACTATCATGGCACGTTCTGTTGAAATAATTGTTTAAGAATTTGAATATATCTTTGAAATTTTAGGCGCGGACGTTTAATTCAAATATTTTAATAATATTTAACGAAAGGAACAGCATTCGAAAAAATATTTCATTATCTTTTTCTTATCGTTTTGTTTTTAATACTTTTCTTTCTATTATTGTTCATTTCTTTTCGTGTCGTTATTTTCTGATGATGTAAACAGAGTTATTACAGTATAATAGGATTTGTATAATTGTATAATTCCTTTCAAAATAATGAATATTACGAATTGTACAGAGACAAAATTGGCATGGTTTCTTCTTCGAGATTAGATCTCGTTCCTTCCTCGTTCATTATCATTTCCACTGTATTATAACATTGATCTTGTTAGAAATTTGTAGAATGTTTCATTTTCATACTATAGTATCGTTTATAGTTTCATTTTTTACTTCTAACTATTATTTAGCTTATCTTGATTATTTTATACTTCGTTTGCAGTAAATAAACTACTATTCAGTTTATATGTGTTACATAATAGTTCTACGCGTGCAAGATGATTCATTGAAAGAGAAAACAAGTGAAGTGAGAATATTTTTGTACAAACACATATTTGTCTTCCTTACTCGTTACAAAACTCTAGTTCCGTTAATTAACATTCTGATAATCATTGCATTGACTAGGATTCTAATAATTCAACTTGTTTACAAAGTTGACTCTCTTCATAAGAGAATGTTACATTTAGAAATATTTATTTGCTCTTAATAACTTCATTTAAAGGTCGCACTGATATTAAACGAGCATCATTGATCACTTTTACTCCTTATCTTTGTTTATCAATTGCGCTACTTAAATGAGCACTGACAATAATACCACACTAATTTTTAGATGTTGTGTCTAGAACTTTGTTTCTCGATGCACGCTCGCTCGCTAACCATATGTTAAGAAAACTGCCTGACGCCTTATGGTAGGCTTCAGACAGTCAAGTTGCAAGTCGATACGTGCACATGCATCAAATATTATATCCGAATGGCTGCGTGGCATGTGGGCAGCGCACGATTCTAACGAAAGCATGACTTCTATTTGCGGCTCCTCGACTGTTCGGGTTTTTTTCGATTCTTGCATTGGTACGCCATAACCCCAACTTCCTCGAAGTGCGATTCGCAAACGCGTGTAATGAACACGATATGATACTTGAAAAACATGAAATTTTTCATAATAAAATTTAGTTGGAAGAGAACAGATTATAATTGAAAAATAAAACTACTTCTCATAATAAAACGCAGCTGGAAGAAGAACATTTATAACGAATTGTAACTTTGCATTATTCACAAGAGAAATGGAAGGAAATACTATTGGCACGTGTATTATATATAACGTGAACAACTGAATGAATCGTATGTAGTGTTGAATAAAATTTGAAAAGAACTTTCTTACAAGAAATTGTAAGAATTATTTTAAATGTTTGTTTATAATAACAAGACAGTTTAAATAATCGAGTCTTCTATACGTCATTTAAGTTATATAAATAATGTATTGTTTTCAAGTAGGTTCTATTTAGAAAGTAATCGAAACATAGCAAAGTATAACTTTGATTAGAACGACTAAAATTTGATAAGAAATTTACACACACTTGAAATCAAATTTCGTGTTTCTTATGTTAGAATCGTTCAAAGTATTTAATAAAAGAGTAATTACATGAAAATTATTGATAAATACGGACTATAGAATCTCTCTTCATTTGGATAAAAGATAAAATAATTTTGATCAAGAAATGCGTGTGGTTTCTAGTATTACATCAGTAGTGATGCGAATATTATAATGATATTATTTTTGTAACAACTGGAAGCGACTCGATAAAATTTCTTCTTTAACTAATGATCCTCGTGTCGTTTCATGCGCTCGGTGAAATTTCTCGTGGATGGTAAAAGTACGACACCGCTTTAACCCAGCCGTTAATCGGCCGTATTTTTCTTCGAGACACGTGACATACAGCACGCGATTACATTTACTTGTAAATGATAGTTCCAAATGTAACACAGACGAACGTGAAAAATGTCGCTGCAAGGAAGTGTAACGAAAACGTGACAGTGTGTTTATCTTCACCATCCAAAAATGTGTATGGTTCAGTTTCACCGTTAGCCAGTGGCCGCGTTAATTTATTTAATACATCGAGGCTTATGTTGCGTCTTGTAAGACTTTCGAAAATTCGACGACTCGAGTGACCTTTAACTGAACGATATTATTTTCTTTCCGTATTAATCGCGGACCAACCTTATGGCTCAATTTATAAACTCATTTGTAACAGACGTTGACAGTCATTTGTGGGTTACAATCACGATATCGTAACAATACACATAATGTAGATATTTTGAAAATGTTTCAATGACTTTTCAACTTGAAAACTATGAATTTGTTTAAACCTCTGAAATTCCGTAATTATTTGCCGATTCTAAAGGTAGGAAACGTGTAATATTATGTCAAGAACAAATTATATAACAATAATTGTAGGTATTTCGTATTAAGATTTGTACGATTAACGTTATTACCTGCAACACAAAATATTTAACATTACGAAGAATTGTCACATATGAAGCAAAAGTTAATTAATGATTCATTTCTTTATCTTTTGTTGATATATTATTTATTAAAATGATGGGCCTTTGAACATTATCAATGACTTTGGAGTGTTCTAGAATTAGTATTTAATAAAATTATGATCTTATTAGTCATTTTTTGCATTGCCAGTTCTGTTGATAAATTTTGGTCTTGTCTGTTTTGTTTTCTGCAAAAAATGTTTAATCCGCAGACCGCATAATCATTCTGAACCGCCGCCGTCGCTGTCGATGCGAGCCGTAGTCACATTTCCATGCTGGTAATGTTTATTGATAAGGTGCCGCATATGCGGGTTACCAGCATGACAGTCCTTTAAATTTTTTTCTCTTCGTTACGAAGCAACTTGAAGGAGAAAACCGATTGGCCGGCATTGTAACCACTCGCGTTTACGTCGTACTTTTGTACCTTTTGCCGAAGAAACATGAAAAATCTTTTGGTTGTGCAGAAGTCTAAGAAGAATGCACGTAAAGTGTACGATAAAAGACAGACAGTAGTTTAATGATAAAGAAAAACGAATATAATAAAAACATATAATAAACGAGACGTAATTCGTAAAAATGATAATTTTATAATTAAAAGAAAATGCAAATAAAGTTAAACGTTTACTATAATTTAAAAAGGAAGAGTGTAATACCAGTGAACTACTTACTTATGAATAAAACACGGCAAAACATAAACTTTAACGAAATAGTATACAATCTTGATACTATTTAACATAATCAGCTCAATAACACTATTCATAGACACAGTATATTTCTATTCAATTTCTAATTTCCTTAAGTATTCCTTAAAATAGATTAAAATGTGGATTAAAGTGTGGTTATATGAATATTGTTATCACTATTATTGAACTGCAATGGTTACAGATATTATAACCTAGTTATGATTAACCTAGTTATCTTAAAATAATTATTACACGTTAAAGAACGCAATCGTGTTATTTAAATTAAATTGCGAATTCATTCTTTGTCAACGTGTGATTAATTAAAAAAGAATCAATTTGAGAAGACAATCGATCAATTTCTATAAGATGGTTAACAACATTATAGTTATTAAGTGAATGGTAAAATTTGAGGTTTCTATGAAAGGACTTAAACTATTTCCGTTACCGAAGGACATGAATTTCTTTGAAGTTTCCCGGGAAACACCGGGATTTCCCACGATCTACGGGGTCACGGTTACACGATTTGTCCGTTTTCATATTTAATCTTCCCGATCCAGGTAAATAAGGACTTTCATGATCGAAAGAAACACAATGGCCAGATGGGTCGATGTCCTAACGTTGCAGGGAATCGCTCGTCCCTATTTCTTCCCCTAGAGAATCTTGAAATCACGTTGACACGGAAATAGATTTCGGAAATAAATTTTGGGGGAAAGTTTTTCAGGGATCGAAGTAACATTTCCTTTCTACGAAATATTGTGTGTTAAGGGACATTCTCGTTTACCATATTTCTATCTCTTATTACTTTTCCATATATTTTATGCTTTCGTATTTTTTCCAAATCCGTTCGTCCAGATAATTATATAGTATAAAAGTTAAATATTGATAAATACTTGACAGTGATCCACGCGAAGATATCTTATCGATAGATTCCTTAGACACGGTAATACGTATGGTCACTTATATTTCATGTCTCGAGTTTTAATTATGAAAATTAATAAACTTAATACTAAATTACCGGATGGGTCAAAAGGGCCCATTCCTGATTTCAGTTTTTCCAGTTATTCAACAGGTAACAGACGCTTCTTTGAAACAGTACCTAAAAACTGGTTTAGCAATACACAAACTGAATTGCAAATCGATTGAAATCTCAATAATTGCACTGTTCAGGTTTCTACAGAACAATTTCAATTACAAAAAAAAAATATTTGTGACGTCAACATTGTGTACCTTGCGTAAAGAAAATGATACTACTTTGACGTGTGTTTACATGTCATTACAGAATTGTAACACATGGTACAAGTTGTAGGAAGTTGAGGCGATTTTTTCTTGAATTTTATTCGCGTTATATAGCCGATTTGCTGGATTTAATAAAATATTGCAACTATGAAGGTTGCTAGTGAAACCAACGCTGGTCGAAAACGTGTTAAAATTATTTGAGTTTCTGCAGGCGTAGCTGCACAATGTTACTAAACGATTTCAGAACCTAAAACTAATCACTGTTGTTAACCATATTTATGTACAATAAGATTTCTTCAGTGAAATATACAAAGATTGAAGCAGAAGTTAACTTCCTTTGTTAATTACCTCCCGAATAATATTTTAATACGTTTCTTACGTTTTCTGTTTAACATAAATACATAAAAGTCTGCAATCAATTAATGACAATATTTAATCAGGATTCATTTGTGTGTTTCTTCTGTGTTGCAGGCTCGCTCAAAATCTCGAATCTCGCTGGACCGATCTCACGAAGCATGGAGGAAGAATTTACGATTTCAGTTGATATCGAGACTTTGCAAGGACGACGAGAAACTGTACTTACCGCACACAGTACTTCCTCAGGGTAGACGGCACTGCCTACGACGTCTTTCTATATATTTTCGTCGATCACGCATCCAGGAAATCATTAACGTGACTCCATAGTAAATCGTTTTTCACATCGAACCTCTTGATACATTTCACCAAATTACGAAGTAGATTTTTTTCGATTCTCATTTTTCGTGATCAGATACGAGCGAACACTCTACGCTTGTTAAAATTTATCTCGTGACGGAGATGGGCAGAATTTCATTAACTTCTTACCTTATTATCCCTCCCTCATCAGACTAAAAGGAGTGATTGTATTACTAAAAATTTCCCAACAGAAAAGAATCTGATATACCGGTAGGAATAAATTTGCCATATATGTCTATAAATCATTTTTTAAAAGTGGAACATCATTTATCCAAGCACCTATTGTTCGACTTTCGATTATGTAAATGAGTAATTATGGTTATTAAACTACGTGTCCATCAATATTTAAATTTTCAAGCACGTCTTCTTCTTGCTTCGAGTAGCCAATTTGACTGTACAGTCTGAGTTTGATGAGTACGATTAGATTTTATTTACATTCATAAATGTTGTTGTACACATACTAAAAGGATGAAACTACACTGGAGAAGTATAGAATTTTTTATTGATTTATGACATTTATTTTGGTCCTCCCAAGCTGATTGTCCTGATGGATTTGTCTGCCAGTTAGTTTGGATAATCGGGGTTCTACTGTACTTCAAATAAGTGACTATAAATATTCAAAAGCACTTTTTTCCAAATAATAGTAATGTTGATTTTGACCCTTTGAATGAATAGCAACATTAATTTCTAGCAATATTCATATCCCTTAATTAACTGCAGAATTATGATTCGACATTGTAAGGCAAGGAGTTAAGTCGGAAATAATTGAAAAAGTGTGATACTGACATTTACTCAGATCCACAGTAATTTGTACGTACCTTTACTCGCTTAAAATGTAACTCTATATTTTTTAATAGAATTTCAATGTAATTAAAAACTCGTATTTGTTCGACAAATAACGCGTAACAAATTTCTCCATTTAGATCATATGTTTGCTCAGCTCTGTCTGTTAAGAATCATATCTGAATAGACGTAAGCCCTATCTAACGATAAACATTCAATTTAATTTCGAGATACCTACGAAACTGTAGCTTTTGTAAGTGTCTTGAAATTCTTAAGACAATTGGTCTTCGTAGGCACTGCGGCCCATGTTATTTATGCAAAGATACAAATCATTTAAATTCTTGTTGACTGTACTGTTCGTTTTGAATGAGGCTGGACCTGACGTGACATTGATGATATTATTAACTGCAATCCAATTCGACACTGAAGCCTTAATTTATTCCGAATTTCAGCAGTTAAAATATTTGTAAATTTCCATCTATCCATATCAGACTGCTCAGTTCACGAATAAAGTGCAAACTTCATAGAAATATGTTCAATGTAAGCATTCGCGTTTGAAGTCACGTGGTTTTTTTATATCAGACTCATCCTCATTCTAAGCGGGCAATACTTTTTAGGGAAATATTAAAATTCCAAAATGATATTTTATGAAGTTCAAGAAGACGAGTGTACATAATAGGAATTCAAGATGGTAACATTTATTATCATACTTCTCGTTAATAGGTGCCTTTTATAATATTAATAAAGGAAGCAATAAGTAAAAACCTTCGAATTCGAGGTATAAGGTTTTCTTGAGGTAGCCGTATTGATATTTTGCTAAGGAAAATAATATGTTGTTCACGGATACGATTAATAAGTAATTTTAGAACATTTTATCGAACGACAAAGCACGAGAACTGTCGTTGCGAAGCAAAAATCAAAGGATATTAATGTACAAACGTGCCTTAACTGAATGTAAGTCGATTTTCACAAAGCGGTGAAACTATTTTTTCTACCTGACGTGGTTTTTAACAAGTATTTAAGCGACGCCCTGTTATTTATATCTATTATTCATATCTGATGCAGCCCGTTTACTATACATAACAAAGGAACTACTTCAGATATTAAGTTTTATGTTTGTATTTGTATATATGCTTATGTAGCAGTCTGTACCTGTATATATGCATAGCCGAAAGAGTTACAGGAATTTTTTCATGAAAAAATATGAGACACGTTCAAAACGTATAAGCTGCCATGAAAAAAATCTTACATTACAATGTGAATAATATAATTTTATAAATATTACTGAACAAATTAGTTTGTAAATTTCTAAATGAACAGAATATACTGTGATCTCATTAGTTCTCGAAACGTTTTATCCTTTCCATCTCAAACTACAGTTGCACTTATTCACATTTGTAATTTCACTATGTCTGTCTATTTATTGAAATGAAAACAACAATGTTTCTGTTTCACGTACGTTTACGTACACCAGCTTATATATTTCAAACTAGAATGTATTTCTTTATGAAAATAATTTCTGTGGCTTAATAAAATATTTATAAACACAGGTAAAGAGTTTCAACTTGATATCCGCTCTTTTCCAGTAACATTTTGAAGATGCTGTACACTTAATCTATACGCGCAGAAGCGACATGCTTAAGAACAAGTTAAATTCGCGTGCCAAGGAAGGAAATTATATTCTTCCGATTATGTTAATTAATGCGTGGGCTGCCAATAATAGTGGAAATTTGTAAGAAAATTTGTTCTTTACAAAGCGAATATTGCATAAAGTTATAATATTTCCACAGTTATCCTTCTGTGACCATAGAGAATTTCACGATGTAGTCGAACACATTTACATTTTTAATTATTCTATCAATGCAATTTTGACGATTGTGTTAATTAAATACGACTTTCATGGCGGTCGATGTGTTGTCTACAATATTGCGGATAAAATTGAAATAAACTTACGATACAAGCGTCGCCTTTTTATTCGTTCAGTATTAAAAGTACATACATAGAAATCGAATTACTTAATCTATATAATATTATTATAAATTCTGCGCCGATCTGTCAATTATTGTACACGCGTGGGCACAGAGTATGTACGTCATACGATTTCCATTGCCTTTTAATTTAATTCATTAAATAATTTAATTGAACAGGAACCAATGCCAAGATCACCGCAATGGTGTTTCTTTTTAATGACAGCGACAATAGCAAGAAAGCAAGTCGCATGCACGTCGTAAATTATTCGACGTTTAAAACAGTACAACGAGTAAAACTCTGTAAATACAAGTGCCTTGGTTAAGCCTATGATAAGCATTTTTTACGTATATCATCTGTAATACTTTTTATGAAATATTTAAAATACATTTTATTATTTATACAATCCCATTGTTTCATTGATTCACATATGTTACCTTGAAAAGCTAAAATAATCTGTTACATTACGATTGACGATTTTACTCTTTCCATAGTATCGTTCTTATTCATTTTTAATACTTAACATTGAATTATGTAATGTTAATTATGAATTCCAACAAAATAATGTAATAGCGCTAACAAGTTTCGTTATTCGTCTGTGTATTGTATAAAGCTTATCATTTATTTCATGATAAGTTTAATTTCTTTCAGATTTTTATGAAATGTTTATATACCAAAAATAAAAGAACGATTTAAATTTTATTTACAATCATACAAATTAAAAGTTTTACGAAATATGTTGATTAATAACATATAATTAATATACTTTATCATTTATGTCTGTCACATTATTCGTTTTAACTAATTGCAGAATATTAATTTTACTAATTGTTGATTGATTTAACAGATCTTTGTCATAAGCGTATCCAGTAACATAAATCTACAAATTTGCAGTTTTACTTTTATATTCTTGACCAGCATTTTTGTAAATTACTCTGTAGCATAACATCTTTCGTATTGTTAGTAATTTATGGACTAAGAATGATGTTTTGCACGAAATTGATATGACTGAGCCAAACGTCCAGTCAATATCGTTATACATTCGAGATCATGACATGCTCGTTAAATAAAAATATACAATACGCTTTCCAACCGTTTACACCTTTATTTAAAATACACAACACATTTGTCGTCTTCCGAATAAGGTGATGAATTCAAGTATTTTATTTCAATGAAGTTGAATTCTATGTTTTCTTTTTCATTGTTATATACATACAGTATACAGACAAAAGAAGATTGTTAAATTTCAGTTCAAGTTCTTTCGTTCTGTTTAATAATTAAATAAGTATTCAAAAGCAACGATCCTCTTCAAATAAAATAACATGGTATAATTATTATTATTTTATTACTTGAATAATCCAATTTTCTTCCGCGATTTATTATTTTCATTCAGATTATCGATGTTTCACTCTACAAAGTGTTCAAATATTTAAATATAAATATATCCATACTGAAAATCTGTTTACGTGAAAATCCGTTTCGTGTAGGTTCGTTTTACGCGACCAAAAATCACGTAAATAGAGCCTGTTGGTACAAGATAAAACAAAATGTTAAAGAGAAAAGCTGCTGTAATAAATATGTTTTAGAAATACATATTTATTTCACATAACTTAACAAAAGAAATAATAATAATGATATTTTAGAAAACAAGAGTATATTTTATTCGCTGTTACTACATTCAGATCACGCGTAAAAGCTATCGCGTAGATAGTGTTCCAATTTACCGCGTAAAAAAGTGGCTCGCTTGAAAAAAGTTCGCGGAAATCGAGGGTCAGGTTTATACATTTTTCTATTTACTGCCAGCAGTAAAAAGAAAATCAGTTTTAATGGATTACAAAATGATGCTTATAGTTTCGCGTCCGTTTTCTACGTATAATCGAGTTCGGCAGGAAGCATGCGTAAGTAACGGAGGGGGGTGGGGGGTCGATTTAGCATTCATCGATAATTCCGTAATTTCGTGAAATTAGCCTTGCTCGAAAGGGGAAATTTGCTCTCTTTGTCTTTCTCTCGCTGTTCCCTTTCGTTGCTTTTTTAATATCCTCGAGGGCTGATTTCCGGGCACGTTCCATGCAGGGGGTGAAGCAGGTTGCTACGTCATTTCCGGAAGTACTCGTTTCCACCTCTGCGATCAACGAGGGATCTTTGTAACCGTTTTTTTGTTCGTTCGTGCTGTACAATACACACACCCGTAATTTTGTCAAATACATTTGGATCGATTCGAATAAAACCGTTGAAACTGCATTCGACTAATAAATTATTATTTGAGTCATTTACAGGTCAAATTAAATAATCCTCTTTTCTTCAGTTTATTTAACAATTTGCTCAAATATTAAAGTGTTATAATTTTCGAAAATTTGTTATAAGTATACCTACTATTAGCTTTGAAATAAAAAGAGAACATGGCAAACATTCAATGATTCTGTGAGGCTAATCTAGTGTGTAGATTGTTTAAGAATAGCATAATATTAAGGAATACATAAGTATTGTATCAAGTACTGGCTCAAATCATATCGTTGACTCCAATTATAAATTTATGCTGTTTTACTCTCCGATACAAATTTGTAAATCAAATATTTTGCAATAAAAGCTGGGGTGATTGTATAATTAATGCAGACCAATGGAAAGTTTTATTTTTTCATGTACATTCGTGTCACTGATATAAATGTGTGATATAAAAGGATCAGCTTCGGCAGCGGTTCTTATTTGTAAATTTTTGATCGTGAAGCTCGCTCCACGCTAAGGTACCTACATTTTCTTCAATTTCTTGCTTGTTATTTATACATTGCGGATGTTTCTGGAAATTCCTCTTCGACGAAAACCAGATATAAAAATAAGTGGGTACTTCACTTATTAAAACGACCCCTCGTGTCACAAGTACTACTAATTTTTATATAGTATTTTTATCATACTTAAATTATTAATTTCATTTCATTTATTTTTACATCCGACAGTATTGTAACTATTACTGTACACTTTAACTATTTAATTACTAATTAAATTAATTGTAATATTTTTTACATTCTCAAGCGTGAACTCCTTAAAATTTCATTTTAAAACGAACTTTTCAGGATATTATTATCTATCGTGATTTTCATCAGACTACAATTTAAAATGGAAACGGAAGTAGTAATAACCTCTTACTGGCAAACAGCTGTTTTCTATATTCTCATTGCCATTACCACGATATTGTTTAGCATTTACATCTACATCGAAACTTTACGAACAGTACGTCTCGGGAATAAGTTACCGGGTACGTAAAATTCTTTCGATTGAACAATTTCATTTTATCGGAAATATATACATACTTAATATCCACCTGAGCCTCGATTTACGCGATAGTTTTTGCGCGCGATCTGAATTTAGTAACAGCGAATAAAATATACTTTTGTTTTCTATAATATCATTATTATTATTTCCTTTATTAAGCTATGTGAAATAGATATGTATTTCTAAAACTTATGGCAGCTTTTCACTTCAATATTTTTTTTTCTCTTGTACGGACAGGCTCTATTTACGTGATTTTCATTCGCGTAAAACAAACCCACGTGGAACGGATTTTCGCGTCAATTGAGGGTCAGGTGTATAATTATCTTCAAGAAATGTTTGATTTGTGACTATTATCAATCCAGGACCGAAGACTGTTCCAATACTAGGAAATGCTTTATTAACTCTTGGCGTTCATCCCGATTACATTTTGGATAAACTGTTGGAGTATGACGTGTACGGACCTGTGGTTCGCGCGTTTATAGGAAGAAAATTAGTGATCTTTATGTATCATCCCCGAGACGTTGAAATTATCCTGAACAGTACAGTTCACATTGACAAATCATCGGAATACAGGTATATATAATCACCTGCTTTTAATCTGCTAAAGTCGCTCTAAATCTGCGAGATATGAATTCTCATTGATTAAAAACAACAAAAAACAAGCGTTTTATGTAAAATTCAGTGATAAATAGTCAAACAAGAAGAATGTGATTGTACTAAACAGTAATAATAGTAATAGTAATTAAACCGTAATAGCAATAATTTCCGGTAACTAACTACTGCAGTCGAAGAATTGACGTAAAAGTGCGTACACTGAATAATAATGAATCACAACTGGGAAGAACATAAATGGAAGAAAAAGTAAAAGAAATTCTAGAAAAGTAAATTAAATAATAAATAATAAAAAAAACGGTAAAATAAAATTCATGTAGTAACGACCCAATGATTACAAGTTTTAGAATTGTTGATAAATGTAAATAATAGTTTGATGAAAAAACATTTGAGAAAACTGTATTTGCACTGAACATATTTCTATTAATATTTCTATTATACTGTGGTTTTACATAATGTGAAGACAAACTAGAGCAATCACATTGCAGGTATTTCAAACCGTGGTTGGGAGATGGATTATTGATTAGTAGTGGTGAAAAGTGGAGAACACATAGGAAGATCATAGCGCCAACATTCCATCTGAACGTTCTGAAAACTTTCGTCCCGTTGTTCTATGAAAACAGTCGAGATTTGGTGATACGGCTGCGCGATCAAGTGGGAAAAGAATTCGATTGTCATGATTATCTTTCAGCAGTAACTGTTGACATTTTATTGGAGACAGCGATGGGTATGAGACAGTCGGAGAAACAGAAAACTGGATATGACTATGCCATGGCCGTGATGAAGTAAGCTTTCCAATTCCTTCAAATCATTTTTTCTGCAACTTGATTCGTTCTACTGTGTAAATAGTTCTGAGAATGTTTAGTGATCTTTATAAATGACTAGAAACTTTCATGACTCACTTACAAATTATAAAAAAGTTCGATAACTTTAAAAAGATGTGTTACAAAAGATTAAGCTCTAGATAGTTTCATGCTTCTACAATTACGTTTGAAATATTCATGACCCATGTTTCATTAATATTATAATATGTAGAATGTGCGATATAATTCATCGACGCCAATACAACGTGAATCTCCGGTACGATTTCCTCTTCAAGTTTTCGCAATACGCGAAGCAACAAGAGCAGTTGCTCGACATCATTCACAGTTTAACGTCGAACGTGATTCGTAAAAGGAAGGAATCAGCTTACAAGGAAATTTGCACGAATATTGAAGATTTTCGTAAGCCAAGTCAAGATAAAGACACCAGCCAAAATAGAGATTCCAGTCCGAAAGAAGAGGTCGAAGGCACAAAAATACATTATGCTAGGGATGATCTTGATGAGCAAGATGACAACGACGTAGGAGAGAAAAAGAGATACGCCTTCTTAGATCTTTTACTGGAAATTTCAAAGAGCGGCGCGCAACTTACTGACGAAGAAATTAAGGAAGAAGTTGACACCATAATGTTTGAGGTACATATTTTCATTCATTATTCAAAGGTTAATGTCAATTGAATGTAACTGAACATTAAAGTAGTGCGTACTAGAAATATATGGAAGTATTTCATGGAAACGTGTGTAGCGTTTTAGAAAACAAAATTTCATACAGACGCGTTCCTTTTACAAAATTATGTCAATCAGTTTTGGTAAATGTGTTTAATATCGAGTAGCCTTTTAAATGACGGTGGAAATAAATATATCATAAAAGTATTATTTCTTATAATAATTCTATATCACATATGGAAATATGATCGCACGAATATGTGACCATATGAATTGGTCTCCCATTAACAATCAGATTAAGTTCAATATAACTTAGAACCGATAATCGTATATTAAAATAATATATTAAAACATTTAAGTAATTTATTTGTTAGTATAAGAAACGCGGACCATGGTGGTTACGATGATTGATTTTCTTAATTTCAAAGTATCCAAACAATTGTGTCTTTATAGGTATCGTAAAATTTAATTGAAAATATATTGTTAGATAGAGCTTACGACTATTGATTGTGTGACATATTTCTTAACAGCCAGAATTGAACACATTTACTATCCAATGTTAATTTAATCATTTCCAGGGACACGATACCACTGCTGCAGGTTCCAGTTTTGTTCTCTGCGTACTCGGGATTCATCAGGATATTCAGGTAAATATACGAAAATGTCTTCTTATCATATTATATTATTCATTTTCATATAATTCATAATGAATGAACATTATTTAATGCATTTCATGCTATGATAAAGGAATGGAGAATAATTCTTATAATAATAGTAAAAACTAAATAACGGTAACTTGCACCATGTGTGACAAATGAAGAACAATGTCATTAGTGCTATAAAAATAAAATGATTAATAACAAAGTATAATATGAAGGTTAATTATTTTATGTTTATTAGTTGCACGTATTTACAAAGTAATTAAAATAGTAAGAAGATTATTTGAAAAATGAAACTGATATTTATTACGATTAAGCTCCTATTTAAACTTGATCTCGAAATGAAAATTACTTCTACCATGGGAAACGAATTTATGATTGTTATTTTGTCTTTTTATAAATATTATATTATTGATATTAATTATTAGACGATTATAAACCATGATCACGTTAATTTTTGTTTGAATGCTTCCTAAGATTGTAAATACATTAACAGTAAATATTGAATTTTTATTATTCTTATGCTATGATATTACTACGTATTACTTGTTTAACATATGTATATTCTACACTATATAGCATACTTTCAATGAAAAATGTGTTTATTTCAATGTGAATAAATAAGCTATTATATCTTTGCGATCCTGTTCTTTTCTAATGCCGTTGAACACCATTCTAGTGCCGGGAATAAATTGCCTGGGGAACTGCAAATATTCATTTAAAGTTTCTTCGTCCCATGTGATGCCTTTTTTCTTCATTTGTTCGGTGTAGTTGAAACCAGGTGTGGCTACATTTATTATTACAATTATTTCTTTTCCACACAAGTAAAAGAATAATTCGATTTTTCAAATGAAGACACGACTACAGCTCTTTAAATACAAACCTCCAATCATAATTAGTTTACAATGATACTTTAATAACATAATTATGTTTATTAAAATGTTTGCGGTTAAACGATGAACGCGCAACAGATTAATGAAACTAATTATGTATTAGGGCATCACATTACATTAGAGTTTCGTCTATAATAAAACTGATAGTGGATTTACTTTAAATTAAAGTACATTAAATACGTACTTCCGCATTTTTTACCAGCAATGCCATGTAGGTTTGGACCAACTCTGTGACTAGCACCTTGATTCGCCGTGTGACACATTGAGCACATTCTTACAAATAAAACTTTCCCATTTGCAGCGTCTCCCATTTTAAAAATACAATATATGATTTTTAGTATTGTAGGTTACGTCAATTATACATACTTAGTAACATTTTTACCAATTCACTCATATCGATTTTGGCAGTGTTCAAATTTTCTCGATAATTGACAACTTCATTTCTTTATATTCCTATATTCGGAATATTATTATTATTGTAAAATTCTAATTAAAAGTTAGTTGAAGCTAACTTCAACGTGAATAGATTAGCAGTATTCATAAACCAAACACAAATACCTTCAATAATCATTTATTCATCAACGAATTTTTATTATTACTATTATTTTTACCATTGTTATAAATATGTTCTAAGAAGATAGTTAATTATTTATTTTAACACATTTATTTTATAATTCCTTTCATTTGAAATAGAAATATTGTATTTGTTTTACACAAATAGTCATGTTGTAGTGAATTTTTCCAGCCCGATTCGAACTCAATTTTTTGAGCCAATCTTTACTGAAGGATAAAGATTTTACATTACAAATATGAAGTTCTAAACAGATTGAGATTGAAGTTATCTTACAGCATTTATACTAATAAGATCAATCAAAATAAAACATGTTATGAGATAACATACATTCACTTTCATCGTCATCCTTTGGAACTTTAAATTATAAATACAATAATCACAACTTACCTCGAAACTGTACGTAATATATAAATATAAATATAAATATAAATATAACAAAGATAGAGAAACTTTTAAACTTTTGATTATTATTTTTATGTGTTAAGTCAGTGGATTACTGATATCGCGTCGATATATCATGATACACCCCGTTTCATAGAAATAAATATATATGTATATATTGATCTATTCTCGTTTTATAATTTCATCATACAAAATGTAAAAATGCATATGATTTCTGATATTTGTGTCACAGCAAAGAGTGTACGAGGAGTTAAATGAAATTTTTGGAGGATCCAGCCGGCCTTGTACATTCCAAGATACGTTGGAAATGAAATATCTGGAAAGAGTGATCCTAGAAACTTTACGACTTTTCCCGCCGGTACCTGCCATTGCTAGATTACTTAAAGAAGACGTAAAACTTGGTAAATTTCTTACACGCATATTTGGAAATAATTAATTATTATGTTCATTATTACTGTAAGATTAATAAGCTGAAAAAAGCTACTCAAAATATTATATATACATAAGTAACCGAAAAAGATCATATTCTTTTTTTCTCATTTGAGAGTTTGGAAATTTTATTTTGAAATTTTAAAAATTCGATTTAGATAGGGTGAAAATAATTGTAGAAGATATTGCTCTTATTTGACCATGAAATGTTAAAATTATACGGGATTATAAAATTCTCTACATAAATGTTCTAAAATAAGTAATGTAAATAGTTTAGTATAGAATCTTTTAAGTAAATTTTGTATACGTACATAATATTTATTTATAATTTATTACATTAGTTTCTTTAACATTTGCTTTAAGAATCTAGTATTACAGTTTTAATTTTAAATAAATTTGAGTTTTAAGTGATAATCAAAAGAACCTTATTATAGTAAAATATTTAGTAACATGAAAACTGTAATATTACATTCGTAAAGCAAAAGTTCAAGACTGACTTTAAGTGATATCGTTAAATACAAATATTTGAAGTGTATCTAAATATTTCTTTCACAATGCTGTTCTTTTTTCAGCTACTAATGGCTACGTATTGCCAAGAGGTTGTACAGTATTAATTGCACCGTTTAAGGTACATCGATTAGAAGAATTCTATCCGAATCCCGAAGAATTTAATCCCGATAACTTTTTGCCGGAACGAACGCAAAATAGGCATTATTATTCCTTCATTCCGTTCAGTGCTGGACCAAGGTACGTTATTAATAAGTATAAAATTCCTTATTACGTTTAATGAAACATTTACAATGATAATTACACAAAACGTAATAATAATGTCTGATATACGGATAATAAAAAACATGTTGATAATAATATTATATCTATTATTGTAATCGGAAAATGAAATATGAAATTCCAATTAATAATGTTGCACTTCAAATATCAGAAACTTAAAAAATCTCACGCTTTAACTCAAACCATTGATTCCTCAAAATGAACGCACTATATTTTTATTACTAAATAAATTTTTATCAAAAAAAATATACAACACTTTGCTTTTCATATTTCTCATTTCACAAGTCCATTGTACACCCCTCTAAGAAAGCAACCATTCTACAGCGCAGTACTTCGTTTAATCTATTTTTATTACGCTACTGATATGTATACCATTGCGTACATTCAAAATAAATATAGATGTAAATTTTTAAAGGCCATCAATAGTAAAACTCACACATACATAATTATACCTTCAATTAATTTACATTTCTCAATATAATATGAACCGATAAATTTAAATTAACTGTACTGTTTCAAATCTCTTTTAATAATATAAATCGAATTTAAATTTATTTATTTGTTCACGCTGTCGGAAAAATCAAAAGTTGAATATGTGATAATGAAGTACAAATTGCATATTTTTGTATATATAAGATAATACATTTTTTCTGTTATTTATAAGAACAAGTTAAGAGTTGTAATTATAGAATAATGTAACATTTCGATGTCAGAGATCAAATGTGTTTCATAATATTGCAACTTTTATTTCTGTTGATTTTAGTGAATTTCATGTTGATAAGATAATACAAATTTTGCTCATGTGTCAGGAATGCTGAATTTGACTGCAAATTTGATTACATATTAGTACATGTGATAACGATAGCACTTTAACCTAATTCGGGTTACATACATGCGGAATTTGTTTTTACAAATTTCTTTCACATATTTCGCATAAATCAACACATTCCAAAGAAAACCTTCTTCTTTTAAAAATATAATTTTATGAAGCATAAGACGATTACATTGGTTTTTTTTGTAGGTCTTGCGTGGGAAGGAAATACGCGATGTTAAAGTTGAAGGTTTTATTGTCGACGGTTCTGCGGAACTACAGGATCCTGTCGGATCTCACAGAAAAGGACTTCCGGCTGAAGGTTGATATTATTCTCAAGAGGGTGGACGGCTTCCGAATAAAAATTGAGCCGCGAAACAAAAGCGATTTAGAAGCTCGTATTTAAGACGGAGCTCCTTTAATTTTAAATGGTATCTTCGCCAGTAGATTGGATTCTACACAAATGTTCACGAAACGCTTTATCTAACGTTATAAAATCATGTAAAGTACAATTCGTTGAGATTCCTACTTCTTCTTACCGAATTGTTCAAACTTTAGATAAACATATTTTTGATAACTAAGGTTTTAACATTATATTATTTCTATAAGGTATAAAGTTATATCATTTTTAAAACAGCTGTTTCTATATTTTACAATGCAATACTTTTATATTATAGTTTAAATCACAATTATATATGTTATCTTCACGGAAAGTATAAATTATTTTATGTAAAGAGTGAATGAAAAATAAAGGATTTTATTAACATCTTAAATTGAGTACTGAATCTTATAAATTGATGTTATAATATATAATTCATGACGTATACAAACGTCCAACAATAGTCTATAGTAAAAAACAGTTGTTATTCAATAATAATTTTATTTCGCTTATACTGATGTATCGTGTTAGGACTCATATAGAAAACATAAATCTTTATTTAATTTAATTTAGTCAAGAATGAATTATAAATAATGAGAGATAAATTAATATATTATATGACTTACTACATAGTATCGGGTAAATTTTATAGAAGATATAATTTTACAAATTATCTATTCGTTCACGATTTCCTTTGTTGTCATTATTGGCAGACAATACCGAATACTGTCGATACCGAATTTCCTTTTCAAACTTTATTCTGTAAGTGAGGCTAATTATACGCTTACAGTCGATTACACTATATCGCTGACGCTGAATTAATATAAATTAACAAGTCATGAGCTTTAATATCAGATGAAGTTTTCTAAATAATGTTCTTCCATAAAACTGTTACTAAGCAAATCTGTAAAATTACTGACAAAAGAATGCATTCGCATTCTAAAATCTCGTTTCGGCAAGGAGGTATTTAATTAGACTTTTGCATAAACATTTTATTACGCGTTAAAGGAATGCTTTGCATTTTGTACAACATTTTCTCATCCGACCCTGTTTTTTTCGGTTTGCGTCAATTCCGAGAGAAACCGGAAGTTTCGATAGCCATTTTATCCGCCCGTTCCTTTCTCCTCTTGGGTAAATCCACTGAAAGGAACTGTATTGCCCATGGAATAACGAACAGGACGTTCATTGCTATAAGTGCAAGCTGACAGACCACGAAACTGTTGGTCCAGTCCTTCATCAACCCTAAAATCATTCATTAATATATTATAAGTTTCTTTCGTAGCCTAATTGTAATGTTTCGTTTGGCAGAAATAGTGGAAAAATGACACTGCGAGGCTTTTGGGGAAAGGAAAGAAGATAGTATCGATCTGTTTTGAAGGTAGAATAGATTGGTGTTATGTAATAAAATATAAAATGTTGTGCATTGATTATATCAACAAAACGAAAGATACTTTTAGAACAATCTAATATCTAGGACGTTGGAGGACTCTCTTTTTCATTGAAAGTCAGTTATCAGCTGATAATTCTATAATGACTTCCTTCAATATCAAAATTAAGTAAATTATCATGTGTCTATCTATATAATGTAGATTTTATAGATTATCTGGTAAAAGTGAAAAACTTGAACTTGTGGTGATCCTCATTCACCACTTGATTTCATACAGTAAAACTATAAAATTTGATATTTAATATTATACTTCGTATAATGCATCACTTTGAGAAATATTGAAATAAAATAGCTTTGTTCCTCAATGCATGTGTGATTTCTCGTCGAGTTAGTTTCGCAAAATATCATCTTTTTCTCATCAGAAAATGCTCAAATATTTCTAGTGAAAAACTTCCGAGTGCAAAGGGTTAATAGTTAATATATTTTACTAGCATAATGTTCTTTCTGTGAACACTCACCGACGATTGGACCGAACAGGATAGATATAATGCCGCTAATGGCACCGTAAATTCCATACGCAGACGCGAATTTTTCAATACTGATGTCTTCTATGATGACCAGTGCTTGAGGAACTAACAACCATGATCTAACTACTCCTATCACTGCTATCATGATGTATGTACCGGTTAAAGTGTGGCTATAAAACAAGTAACCTAAAAAATCAATTAGCGAATAATATTAAATTCAAATGATTTTTATTTATTTATGCCCGTTTATGGGAACGAAGCTTGCCTCACGTAAAAATCATGCACAATATTAAAGAAAAAAAGAAATAAACAAAAAGAAAACAAAAAAAGTAGCGTCAAAGAAAATCATTTGTCATTTCAACAGGAAAAAAAACAATGATTGTGTCCAGCTTTGTTTCACTGCATTATTTGTATGATGTGACGCTTTACTAACCAGCTTTTGCAAACGCCATGGCAATCATAGCAATGAAGAATATATATTTTGATTTCACATCCACCATCAGAGTGAAAATTGCAAGCAATATCTTAGACGGCAATTCTGCTGAGGCGCTGATGGTAATTGCGAGAGCTGCCTCGCTTTTAGTGTAACCCGCGTTCGTCATCATCAGCGGTAGCAGGCAAGAAAATGTGAAATCGCTGGACAGCACGAAACTAATGCCCAGGCACATGTTTAAGAAACAGCAGTTCTTTAATAATGACATTTCCAGAAGATCGTCCAGAATTTCTCTACAGGAATTGCCAAGAAAAACATTATTCGAAAACAATACGGTATGCTTGTATTTACAAGTATAAGAGAAAAATGGAATTTTCCAGAAATGCTATTCTAAATTTGATAGCGTTGAAATTTTTCAAAAGTATTTATACATTTGCACAGTTCCACTTTCCTTCGATCCAAATGCAAGTTTAACCGAACGATGATTAAACTTGTTAAATGCAACTGCTGCCTAAAAGTTTAGAGCATTCTTCGTTCTTTATATCCAACAAAACTTTTCTACGAAGAAAACTTTTGATTTCAGATCAAAAAATCGTGAAAAAGAAATTTAGGAAAGTATAATGTAGGATAAAATATTGTAAATATTTCGTAGGAAGAGTACCTTTTTAAAGAAATGAAGATTGCTCCGAACTTTTGAACGACAATGTCTACAGAACGTACTTTAAAGGACCTTTCTCATTATTTTCATTATTCATGGATACTTGGACTCCCTTTTCATGCCTTTTCTCCTTATTTTTCTCGAAATGATTCCGCTCACCAAACACTCCAATACTCGTCACTAAATTCGTCACGCTGGTAGACGAAAGAGCTGATACTCGTCGTGTTAAAAGTTCTCGCATCGATCCTGATTTTATGCGATTCTGAATCTTATCCTCAAGGACTGAAATCGAGGCTACCCTTTTCGCAGGCCCCTACATTAACAAGAAATTAATACTTCATTGGAGATGTAATGGATTCTAGTTGGAAATTATTTCCATTGTTATTCGAATAAAAAGGTAGAGTAATTTATTCATAAAATATATTTAGTAGAATAATATTATAAAATCATATCCGATAATAATTATCCAGACAAAGTATTCAATTAACTTCATTCATTTAACTCTATCTTAGATAAACGTTTATTTGTAACTATAATGTTCCACTGAGATAAAATTAGAATTCATCAGAAATACCTCGAAGAAATCGAAAATATGAAATAATTGGTATAGGCTGAAAAATAATTGGATATGACGATCTATAGGGAGGACATGTTCTGTCTTCAAATTCATTTTTAACTTAAAATTGTAAGCAATTTGTAATTTGTTTCATATTTATTTAGTCTATTTGATGGAGGAAAGTTAAAATAGATAGAATTTAAATTAAATAGTCTCATAATTAAGGTAGAGTACATGAATCCATTATGCGCTTTATTATATGTATATATTATTTCTATTTCGCATATTAACACTAAACCTACCGAACAGTTAAATTTGACATTTTGAGATCCTTTTATACCAACTTCAAGAGTGCATCTACCGAGACTATAATTGATTTATAATTCAATTTGCGTATTGCTGAATCAATTTCTTTAATAATTTTTTACAGAAAAATCTGTTATGTTTTTAATAATTGCAAAATGAGGGAAACAAGAATGGGTCATTTTGACTCCTCTAGTAGTTTTAGTGTTAATCTCAACGTTGAAATGATTTGTATAATTAATTTTCTAACAAATGACTATTCATAGAAAATGTTATTAAATATCTACGTTCTATTTATGTTCGGAAACTTACTTTTAACGTTTCAATTAGTAGCGGTATTTGTTTTTCGCCGTCACCTTTAAGGCTCGTCAAGCTACTCCATCTTGTTTTCGTCGGAATTTGGAAATGGGCAATATCTATGGATCGACGAGTAGCCGATGTTACTCCACAGAATTTTCGTTGTTCTCTTTCGCGCGCCATTTCCGCTCGAACTTCTTCCGGCTTCCTAGTATGCCACTCGACTGGATGCATCATAGTCATTCCAACGATGCAGTTTGAGCTCATGGCGCCCGTTATTAACGCAGTGCCTGTCGATTCACAAAAATCATGTATACACTGGTCTAGTACTTGAAACATAAACACAATAGAAATTGACACATGTTTTGAAATTTCTGTATCCATAATGCATAAAGTGCATGTGTGGATTGTGTGTATAAATTTCATTGAAATCGAACAATATGTGTATACCTATCTTAGGTTGAATGATTTCCTCTGTATTTTGAATACCTTCGAGAACCAGTGTAGGCTAGGCCGAGACCAATTGGACCGGTTCAAATTTAGCAGTGGAAAACTAATAGTTCAAACTTCGAATCAACATTTATTTTCATAAATTTGTTATTAAAACATTGTATGCGGAAAACGTAAAAGTACTACTTCCATGTACCGTCGTGTAGTACTAAATAAATACTTGTACAACTTCATTAACATTTTTGATAAAAGTAGATAGTTCATTTCTTTCGCGTATGATTGAAAGTATTTCTATTTGAAATGGAAACTGTCGGATACTTTCCATAATAAATAAATGAATTAAGTTAACTGATACACAATGTGTTAATACATATTCAGCTTCAATATGAGTAAAAAGAAATTTGTGAAAACATAAAACTCTTCATTTTTATCGAAAAGGAAGAAACTGAAGATTTTCAAGGTTTTTAAAATTTCTGTTTACTCATATTGGAGCTCAATGTGTATTAATAACAAATTTATGAAAAAAATATTGTTTCTAAGCTTGACGTACGATCGGTTCGTTGGAGTTAACTCTTATTATTGTATCTTTGATTTTTTCTGGGCTCCGTGACCGTTAATTTGTTTTTATTGTACATCTATATATAAATAATTATAGGTATATGACAATGAGAGGAGGCCGCGATCCGATTCACCCCGCCCTGTTTGATCCGAACAGCCCTGTCCCGGCTGATTTCAAAGTAAATGCGACAAATGAACAAAACACAATATAATAATCTAAAGTACATTAAATACTGAGTCTAGACACCTTAAAAACTAAGAATAATCAACACATTTGAATTTCCTAGCTTAGTTTGCTATTTGAAATGTGAAATTTTAGCTACGTGTTTTTAACCACGAATTCGTTAGGTTCGTGTGCGTTCGCTTAAATTCTAACACGTGCTGATGACAAACAACGGTTCGAAACAATTGAAAATGTATTGGATTAAGTGTAGGGAAGATATATAAAGTAATATGGATACCTCACATAATTATGTAAGAAATTCTATGAAACAACAATTATCAATTCTTCGAAAGTATTATATGTTTTTCATTTTTCAATGAAATTGTTTCTCTCATTTGTTCTTACGTTTTTATTTCAAGCTTCACTTAATGAAGATATTTATGAAACTCACCACGAAATCCGTATACATTCATTAATCTCTCGATGACTATGGGATAAACAATCCCACCCAAACCAATGATAACTTGGGCCGCACTCATTACCTGGAAAATAAGAGTTTCTGTGAAAAATCAAAAATAAAAGCAATCATTGGTGAACGCCGGGCGTCGGCTCCGCGTTTACATACTGGTGCTCGTTTCTTCACGAAGTAAGCGTTGAAATTCGTGTTACAGATCGTGACGATCAAACCGATGCCAACCCCTTGAAGTAAATTCAGAAATGCCATTTCGTAGAAGTTGGTGACGAAAGCCATAGCGATGTTCGATATTGAGAAAAGCACAGCGCCGAAAATACCTACCGGCCTCATCGCGAACCTTTTCAGCAACGTGTTCGTCATTAAACCTGTTACAGAAGCGTTCAATATTATTACTATCGTATAACTCTGTGTTCCGTCTATACATTTATAAAATAATTCAAAACAATTTTAAACAATATTAAACAAACAATTTTAATAAGAAGAATTAAAAAATTCAATTTTTAATTAATAATAGAACTACATACATATTTAACACGTTGAATGCCATGGGGGTCACCGGTAATCAAATTACTAAAGATCACTCGATTAAACGATGGTTATTTGAAAACGTTTGCATATTATAAATAATGCTATCCAACGCGGTGACATCCAGCCAGACGAACGTGCGATAATAATAATTAAGTTCAATCAAATAATTTAATACTACATTTTTCCATTTTTTGCATTTTGCTCTATGAAATCGCGCGGCATTTAACGTGTTAAGTACGAAGGTTCTACCATAATGGCGGTACTCGATTGAAAATTATTTGTATTCTATTTTTCGTAATTTTAAATGTGTTATACGTAAAATGTGAAAATATTGCAAACGCACATTAATTAATACATAACACTCGTGGCATGAAAATGTTGAGAAATAATTTTATTGGTGTGTCATCTTATAGTTCGGAACAAAACTTGTATGATTGTAAGTTTTTGACAAAGATAAAGAGTGTCATATTGTTGTTATCTGACGCCCACGAAGATGAGTGACATTTACATTAACAACTATTTATGAATAAGCAGTGTCTCTTATCGGCGATCTCTTTAGCATCTGTCATATGAATCATATGCATATATATGGCTGTGTCAGTTTCTATGTTATATTTGTCGCAATTGTTTCGCAAGATATAAAATTTGCGACAGTCAGAATGTTCGGTAGCGACACGTCGACATCTTCATGAGTTGGCGCGTGTTGACTTGTCTACCTCCACAATACGGTGATAAATGAAGATGGTCATGTGACAATAGTTCAGTGTGTCACCATGTATGTAGTTTATTAGTTTATCTCCCCTTTGAAGTCACTTCTACTTCATGTTCGTATATTTTTCCAACAAGTCGAACAAGTAGATTTCCAGCATGTAAAATCTCATATTCCGTTATAAATTTGAAAAATAGAGAATGTATTTAATGGGATTAATAAAAAAATAAGTAAAGTATTAGGTAATAATTAAAATCTGTATTTTTATATAATTAACTTGATAAAATATAATAATAATTTAATTAAATATCAAAAATACTTGTAATATTTATAGGAATACTTGAAATAAATGAGAAATTTTGCACATACTTTTATTCATGTTTCAGGTATATTATTTTTATTTATGTTTTACTTGTAATTCATTAAAAATATTTATTGCTATGATTACATATTATGTTAGCAAAGAAATATTAAGTGTCGAAAGCTGATTCTCTTTTTAGCATCATTATTGTGACGTACAGTATACATGTATATATAAGTTACATACACGAATGTGAAGCGAAATTACTCAATGACGCGTTATCATCACGCGTTAACTATTATAGTTTCTTCTTAGTACCGGAACAAGAAGATGTGTGTATATTTATGACTGTTGTGTAAAATGTAAATCTTTACATAGGCAATTACACATATGCTACCACTCATGACGATTCGAACGATTTTAGCCGGTAAAAAATAAAATACTACAGCTGGAAAACAAAAAGTTAAGAAAATATTCATTTACCAGCAATGGAGAACGTAATCATGAAAACGGAATTAAATACGGTCATGGCAGTACCAGCTTGACCTGTCGCTTCGAGAAGGTCCTCATATATAATTGCTAACGACGAAGATGGTCCAAATGTTGTAACCTAAACATAGCAAAACAAACTTACTAAATTTATTTGATTTCTTATTTTTTTACTTCGGAGGGCAACATTACTATATAATTCGAGATTACCATCACTTAGAAGCATAGAAATGTATCTCGTTTATCAAATTACTTTACCAAAAATTTAGAAAGTCTATTTCAAAGAGTGGTCTTGTACATTTTCACAAACTGTTTTAGAATATTAATTAAGACGTTCCGTACCACGGAAATTTCGGTTATATATTACTTATGAACTGTATTGATTTTTTAAATAAAATATTATGTTATATTCTAGTTTCTGATAATTCTTATATATTTTCATATTGTTCCCTTATGTTCTCGCTGCTTTGTAACGCATACCACCATCCGTGGTCATGTGTCCCTTAAAAATATGTTACATAAATTCAGGTGTACCATATATATAGTAAACGTGGCACTGAAAGTTGAAAGTGTTAAAATAAATATTCAAAATATTTTTATTTTAATAAATCCTACTATTTGTTTTAATGGATCCTATTGAATGATATTGTAATACAAATTTGTTTAGAAGAAGGGAAAAATGAGACTTGTGTATTAAAAAGTATATGTCGTAAAATACGTGTTAAGGAGTCAAAAACTATTATCTATATTTCATCTTGATTTTCTTATACTTTGTGATTTCGTGATTAGTTATATATTTAACACTAAACCTACCAGATGGGTCAAAATGACCCATTCCTGATTTCTTCTTTTTGGAATTATTGAAAAGATAATAGATGCTTCTCTGAGATATTATTAAAGAAATTGATTTAGCAATGCGCAAACTGAATTATAAATCAATAAGGTCTCGATATATGTACTCTTGAAGTTTTTATAGAGGAATTTCGAAAAGTAAATTTAACTGCTCGGTAGTTTCACTGTCAATTAAATCATAGAACGTTGACTACTCACGAATATTAATATCATAGCCAATACAACCATCCAGCCCCAGCCACCATCGGGAGCCAAATCTTCCAATGTAAGTTCATCCTCATCTTTTTCCTCATCTCCATTGAACACTGTATTATTTCGGAGTTTCTTCTCGTCATCAAGGAACGTCTCCTTCGTCGTTGTCATTACAGTTGTTTCGCTGGTTTTGGCTACCATATTATTTTTGTAGAGTCTACACACATTGCATAGAAACTATTTGATACGGAAATACTGTTTTTTTTAATATTTTTTTTCTACGACCGTTTACAGCTATTATATCTAATTTTCTTTTGTTTGATTCTTTTCCCTTGTAAAAGCACACACTCTTCACTCTGTAATTACAGTGTCACGGAACATCATATCCCTCGCGACGTTGCACACCGAAATTGAAACTCGAAATCAATCTAAGATAAACATTGTTGACCACTAATCACAATTACTATTTAAAATATTGTTTTCAACAATGTTTAATCTCTTCTAATTACATGTATCGACATTTCCTGCAGAATTTTCATTTACATTGGTGACTTAGTTATCGGTATCTCAAACTTCAGTGTGAAGATAGTAAAAAATAGTACGAATAATGTTAACAACCAACGTGATTAATATGAAAATGAACATTCTACAAATATAACATTATTTGCTCAACTTGTATTTCTTTATTCTGCAGATTTCAGATTAGAATATTTGGAAACTACAATTATCGACGACTATGATCTCCATTGAAAAACCTTACCGATGAAAATAGAACTTTTAACGTCTTCGAAACAGTACTGGAAAGTGGCACCGTTAATTAACTAATTCTGCACTGTATATGATAGCCAGTTGTTTGACTGAACGAAACAAGACACGAATGAATTCGGAGACTCTCTTATCTATGTACACAATGTCATCGTACTAAGTACTGGTCCTTAAGAAGAATGAAATATAGCTACTGTAGCATCTGAAATTAGAAAATAAACGGAAAAGAAGAAGATTGAAATATGAAATTGTTTTTTAATTGCATATCTTTTTTAAAGCTTAAGCTCACAAGTAAAAAGTGCAACTACTGAAAAAATTACGTATATTTATTTACAGATACCAATCTGTCAATGTTTACGAAGTAATCGACGAAGATTTTTCAAATGATTATTAAATTACAATTCGTATAAAATAGAATATTAATCTTACATTGTATAAAACGTGCAATGTTACTATACAGTGCCTGTTAAAAAAAAAAATTAGGGCCGCCATTAATGTAATCTTTGAGAAGATCAACAATGAATCAGCAATCTGACTCTTGCCTCATTATTTCCTCGTATTCATTCCTTATAACTCAGGTTTAATTTCTTTGCTTAACATTAGGTCTTAACCTTTTGCACTCCAGAGGCGCCTCTCAATCGCCAATTAATTCAACACACTAAAATTGTACAGTTTGATATTTAATAGTAAACTTTGTATAATGCATCGATATTGTTTTAATTCTCAATTTATGTGCCATTTCTCGTTAAGTTAGTTTCAGAAAATGTCGCCTGTATCTCATTGGGAAATGTTGAATATTTCCAGAGAAACACTTCTAGAATACAAAAGATTAACACTACGGCGAGGAAACCATTATTAAATTACGTTTCAGGCTTCCAGTACTATGATTTCCGCGAACAATGTGGCGTAAAAGCTATGGTGGCCCTAATTTTTTGATCAGAGACTGTAGAAATTGTTTTAAAATTAAAGTGAAACGAACATTTCTGTTTTCTATATGAGTACAAAGTCAAAAGAAATTTTAGTCGGATGGTATCCATTTATTCCAGGCTTTCGAAGTATTATCTTTACGTGGCCCCTGGAGTATCCTCTATATTAATCAAGCCAAGTACAGGATTGCAGACTTTAAGGCGTATACAGAAAAGCTGGATAGCTCTGAAGATTAGTAAAATCGTATCGTTTTACGAATTATTATTCCTTGTAATTGATATGTAGGATTGTAAAGTAGTTATTTATGCGATCTATAATAGGAATTTATATTCAGAATTAAGATTGAATTTGATTTTTTGTTCAATTATCACGTTAAAGATATAATTGATTCACCGTACTGCAAGTAAAAATATTAGACGGTTTACTTTCAATTTCAATTAAAATGAATTATTTTATTGTCCTTCTTCAAATCCCTTTTTTTCATGGTTAATATGTGCTTTAAATGTTTCAAGTTGATTAAATACGATCTTTTTATAATACGAGTTTAACGACGAACTATAATGAACTCACTGTAGCTTTGTTGTAAATTACTGGGTTAAACTGTTGGAGAGAGTCACTGATAACTGTAAATAAATAGATGTTTCATTCGTGAAGCACATGTATAAAAATCGCAACTGCCTCGAGTTACACTTACATTAAAAACTGAACATGATCAGTGAATTAATACGAACTTCAGTCCCCTCTAACTCTTTCGAATTCCATATTTGTAGTGTATGCACTAATATTGTTTAGTTCAAATGCGAATTTCAACTCAACAATAATCTTCTGTGTTACGCCGCCAATAAAACTGCATTTCACGACGCTTTTAGCAATACCGTTTACGCGTTCCGAATACGTTTATCACGTTTGGGTGTGATAAAATACAATACATATGACTCAAATACGTGATAGATCTCCTTTACGGGAAATATAAACCGTTCGCTGAAATTATTAAGCAATTTATGCGTTTACAAACATTCGACTTTCTGATTTTTAACGTCGTACAATTAAGATTAAGCTCTGCTAGCGAAATTTTCTTATAGTAAACAAGAGAATTATCAGTGTGCTCGTGTGTTTCATACGCCGACATTTTTGCATCGGCGTCATTAATTTTCACCCTCGCCAACTCGAAATATATCGTCCTCCATTGACCGTAATTATTCTGTTTCTCTGTTACTTTGTTTTCTACCGGGCAATAAGCGTAGTGTTGCTCCTCATTAAAATGTGTCGAAACGAGTTTCAAATTACTGATTGTCATCAGAGTAGATTAAAAATAAATATCGAAACCGCAGCTACTGTACACCACAGGTAATTTAACCCATTAGTGACACGTGTCCCCGGTGCTTCTGTCAATTTTCATGCAACATTTTAAACATATTCCTCTTAGAATCGTGTTTTACAAAGTGACAATAGAGATATATTCATATTTTAGAGTTAAATATATATATATAAAATATATATATATTTTTTAATACAAACAAAACATACTTCACATTTCATGTTATAAAGTTTCATAGGTCACATTAAAAATCCTGTATAAAACATAAACGAATTTTTACTTACAAATAACAATACGCTAGAATGTTTGATGTTTATGTTGTCTTAAAAAAGAGTTACGTATATTAATCAATTTTCAGTTGTGGATTAGAAATCCTTTGTGTCATTTCAATTGACACCATATCAATGTCTTTCTAGACACTATTATATGGTTTCACATTCTTCTTTAAGTATTTGTATCCTATTCAGTTTCGTGTTTCTTCTGTAGTTTATTATATAGATATTCGTCTTTCAATTTGCATTACTTCTACTAAAACTTGTTTATGTCTTAAATATTTCTATTATTTTGTAAAAATATTTCAAGATATGTTTACTGTACTGTTAATACCGTGAACGAAATAAATAATAATCGCATTCCAGATGTTCGTTTTTTACGTTTTCCTTATTTCGATTAAAATTATACGTACGGATACATATACACGGGTGTGTGTCTCTTTTGAATTATATTGTGAATGGAAAGCAATGCGTACAGCAGATTGCGCAAGATATAATATGATAAGAACAATAAATAAGAAACGACGGAGATAGTGGAGAAATTCTTCAAATTGGGTTAACATTTTCCTTTACTGATATAATGCACAAGCCTTAATATTTTAATAGTTCTGAATGAAGTCCATATTGATATTCGCTTGAAAATGCAAGATGTTTCTCTTTCCTTATGAATGTTATACTTACTTTCGTCAATGGAAGATCATTCAAGTAAAATGAATATACAACTTATTTTATATTGTGCATATAGGAAGATGTTTCACGTGTGTATCAAATGGAAATGTTGTTTGCACTAATTTCGATATTGCTTTAACACTTGGATAGTAATGTTGCGTTAATAAAATTGTAATACGCCAGTAATCTGATAATATATTTTTCTGTCAGTTTTATAAATTTAAGAAGCGCTGTTTTAAAACATCACAAGTCAGTCGATGGACACTTGAAAGATCACATGTATCTCAATGAAACTTACGAACGTGCCACAATAAACTTAGAAGAGAAAAACTATTAAAACTTATTGTGCCCAGAAATAATGAAAAGTTCTTGGTACATTTGTACTCGCCAATCCATTCGATCTTAACTCTCAGTATGTCCGAAGACTCTCACTTGCAGACTCAAATTGAAGTAGCTCTAATAAAGAAGAGAAATTAGAGTAATACTGATAGCGGTAATAATGTCAACAACGGTGATGATAACGGAATCTGTTTTATGATTATTTAATTCGAGACCGTGATGTTAATTGCAACTTAATTTTGTCTCGGCGTTGAAAAATGAGGCTCATTTCACGATTACCGTTACTATAGTCTCGGTTACAGTACAATGTTTAAAGTTCGAAATACTTTCTGGCCTCTTGTTCCTTTTCTTCATTCTTATTCAAATTGAAAAAAACATAACATAAATGATACTAACGAAATTAATGCTAAAATGACCATTTCATTTTTGTCGTGCCATTATACTGTAAAAAAGGTAAACATTCCGTTCCATAAGTTCCAAAAGATTCCATAAGTATCATTTTTTATTAGTTTCTTTCCTTTGTACGTACTATGAAAAAAATAAATGAGAATACTTGATACTTAGAATATTTAAAATACTGGTGAACCTTTTTACCTTGTCTGAAAACAATGCAAATGTCTTTTAACTTGCCGCTAATCTTCTATTCCAGGATTGTACTTCAATTCTCCCCATTCCTTCAAAAAAATTCTGCTTGTATACCGTATTGTCCTTTTCTGCGCTTTTGGTCATTTTCAATGATGCCTACACTCGGTAGCTAGCTACACTTACGCCTATATCTCAATTACTCTTTAGCATAGTTATAACTTATAACAATGATTGAACGAGCTACTATATAAATATAATGCAGTCTTTATCGTTTTAGCTCTGTAGTGATAGTTAAATTATCATTTTATTATTATCGTTGCCATTATTTGATTATTATTTCTAGAAAAATATTATTGTAATGGTTATCGGTGAAATCCTCAAATGATTTATTGTCATTTAGCATAGTTTGACATTTAGAAAGCTCTTGTAAAAGTGAACAATGCTTTGGATTACTTTTTGTATGAATATTCCTGTAAAACCATCTGCTATTTGAAAATCATTGTAATTTTTCCAAACTAATACACAATAGACGTACGAAAGGTTCATAAATATAAAAAAAGGCGACTTTGTGAAATTTTGAATCTTAAATTCAAACGAATGTCATCGACGAACCGTGTTCCCATTAAAAGAAAATTGCAAAAACGCGTATCATCGGTATTAACACGGGTGTATTAACCGTTACCACTGACATTAACATGTTACTATTGAGTACGTACAAGACACTTATGAAAAATTGTCTCGAAATTGCGTTCACTGTCACACGAATTCGCGAGAAAATTTCGACAACAAGTGCATATTGGAATTGAAAGTTCATAATGCATTACTAAATTTCGAAAGCGTTCGATTAAACGATCGACGGCGGAAACTCGCTACGCACTCCCTATGATACCGATAATGTGTCGCTTCTCGTTTTCAAGCTTCCTTTTTTCTCTCCTCGTCATAATGGAGCGATCTTCCTCCGAACGACAACAAACAGTTCAGTCATCGTTTCCATGAGAGGAATTCAGCCATTGCGATCGGAAGTTTCGTTTAGTTAGTTTCCACGCATGGAAACTTGCTCGATTATTTCATCGACTATTGAACGCCAATCATTATGCGCCTCCTTTCATTGCATTTTACGTAGCAACATTGTGCTTTCTATAAATCGAATGACTAATTGGATGTTTTTTAATACGTCGCTTTTCCGAACTCTCATAGACACAGTGAAAAGGATCCGTGACCTTTATTTTGTCAGGTCACGTGAAATGTAAACATTTCGGATTTTTAAAAGGACGACGACCTGTGATTCATTGGATTTCTTTTTGAATTATGTTAATATTTTTAGTGGAATCACCGGAGGCTGATAACCGCCTCACTGATAATGAAATATCGTCCGGTCGCGGTAACCCACGAGCATTTTCGTAGCCGTGTGTATAGTCACCAGCTTGAAAGTGGCCTGTGTTGTTCGTTGCGGTCGCCAATTGCTGTGAGTAATTATCCGTGAACTTGACCGAGACTTTTCATTGAAATTCGTATTAGGATTTTTTTATTCTTTCCCTGCTTAATAAGAAAAACTTTTGACAATTCTGACAATCAAGATATTACAGGTTTCCGTTTAATAGTTATTAGAGTTGGTACAGTGTACGTAGTCGTTTGAAATGTCTGTGTAGAGAACTTTTATTCCAAAACGTTTCTTCAGTTTTCGTTAGAAAAACCGAGGATGTTCATGTAAGTATCGATTTTCTATCTCAATGAAAAGAAATATTTTTTTCATTCAAAGTTTTATCAAGTGTCGCATGATATATAAATATTATCAAGCTTTATTAAATATTCCATCGCGAATTTTAAATAATCAAGTATGAGTAATACTGAAATATTCGCCATCTGTTCATTATCTAATATGATAAAAACCATGACAAAACGATGTAAACATAAGATTAATTTATAGTCATGCCAATTCGAATTTGTCACATAGCCATGGATTTTTGTAAACTCGCAGGGTTTGTTGTGCTGTCTGAAATAATAATGGGTAAATAAATCATCATTTTATCCCTGATATTTCCATTTCACTTTGACCGAATTACTTTTACCTGTTACTGGCATGTTAAAGCTAAACGAATGCTGTTTACATTGAAAGAAACGTTTCATTTTAAACACGACATCGTTTCTAACCATTACAAAGTTTCCAAATCATTCGTTGAAATTTTCTTTACAAAATGAACTTCCAACAGGATGAGCGATTTCGACAATCTAAAAAAGAAGTAAACATTAAAGTGTATCATGTTTGGAGCAGATGTTGTTGCAAGACGTCTAACAATTTACATTTTATTGTTAGAAAGCAATGTACAGAAATCGAATACAAACTTTTCAATCAATCAGAAATCGTGACGTGTCAATGACTGATTTCAATATTACAAAATAAAAATTCACGCATTGCGTATTGTGTCCTCTGAAATCAGGATTACGATATGTGATAAATAAAAATTCAGTATATTCTGGGCAATAGTTAAAAAAAAATTAAAATTCATACTCTGGAACTTCATGATTAGATAGTTCTGTGTACGGTATCTCGTAGCAGCCGTGTTATTATTGTTTAGAAAATGCATATTAAATTTATTCGAAAGTTCTGTCCACAGTTTAAAAATAAAATAGAGATTTTATAGAGAGATACTTATGGAAACACAAGCGGAACACTCTGGCACACTTAGATTTTCAATAAATATATCATAAAATAATCATTCGACCTTAGATTAATTTATCTGAAATATAAAAAGTATATTCAATGTGAAATGTCACTGTTAGACAAAATTATCAAATGAATTCTATATTACATTAAAAATGTCTGCAGATTAATATCATTCACCTGAACTTGAAAATTCTAAACATTTTTTACAACCCGAAGTTGTTAGAATAAAAATATTATAATGATTCTTTGTTACAAAATCTTTTGTTTTTTTTAACCATGATTATCGTAATGTTCATGAATCTTTTAATAAATGTTAATTACGTAATGAAAGATATCCAAAAAAACTTACGATCGAAATATCAATTTCATTAAAAAGTAAAATTGAAGATGATTTAAAGTTGCCATAAATATTTAATGAACACTTTTTGCTTTTAAATCGGGTCATACAAATCACTTTTACGCAATTACTACTTATGGCAAGAAGAATTTTATTTCAGTACTGGAATTTTTTCCATCTTCAGTCAAACTATCTGCTTATATCAGTGACGTAGTTTACAGGTAGATTAGCATTTAAGTATAGTATCATGTACTCTTAAGACATCAATTGTAATGCTCACTTTATCGGTTATCTGGTCACGCAAAATTTCACGGAGTGTAGGTAAGATATTACAAGTAATATCGAAATAAATGTTTTATTGTAAGAGTTTTAATAATATCTAATAATACTCATATGATATGCAAGATATAGTAAGAATAGTAATATAACTTCATTCTTAAAATAATATACAATATGACATGTTCTGAATATATATTTTATGTTGGTTGGATTCTTTAAATAGTGGAATTAAGAATTCGAATAAGGAAAAAGCACGAAGATGAAATATCGTAATGGTGTAACGAAACGAAATAATGAACAGAACATTTTATATACAATTACGTTGGAATACAATTTAGTATTTAAACATTTAATCCTAAAACATTCGTAATCAGGCACAAAAACCTAATTTTATCTCAAAAGTACATAATACCGAAGTTATCAATATCCAGATCACAAATTATATGTCAACATATTGACAAAAATGTCTGGTATTTTAATATAACGCTTAGATCATGAAAAATTCTGAAGATCACGGTAAAAAAACATAGCGGTATTCTATAAATGAAAAAAATTACTAGTAATTTCCAGAGAAGTACTTGTTCCAGTGTAGTTAATGCAGAATTCCATTACTGTAATTATACAAATATCAATATGTTTCCTCGCCGCGTATTATTCTTGTTTCTCATTGGTCGTAAAAATTTCAGAGATTCCTGATGCATTGAAAATGATGTAAACTGCTATTTGTAATCAGTTACCTCCACAAGTTGTGGAAGTAAGTCCAGGAACAGTTAGGAATAACAATCTGGTACTAATAACTATAATTCAGGGTTTTTTCAATAAAAATTATGTATACAGGTTTTTCTATTAAAAATAGACAATAATCAATAAATATTAGTAACGTGAAAATTTCGAACACTTTTTCTGCTTTCTAGGAACAAAGTTAACGTAGCATCTTGTTTGCATGTAGATAACATATACATACTCATTTTTCACATCGTCTTTGTATTTTCTTTCGCGTGAAAATATGTTTATGTTATCAGCGCTATTACGTAATTGTTTTGAAATGAAAAGTGTAAAGATTATTCAAGGTCTAATAATAAAATATGGTTTGCCTTGTAAAATGAAGCTACATTTACAAAATAACGGAAAACGAACAAAAATATATGAAAGCTCATTTTCTACTGATAATTTTTTTACGTTATTAAACGTGTCTATATTTGTGAATTTTGTTTAAATATTAGAAGTTGTTTAAAATTCATTATTTCATTTTCTTTAATTCACAAATTGATGAAAAGTGATCAGAAGACTTTCCCCAATACTATCGTTAAATCAATAGCAGTTCTATAAATGATTTCAAATGAAAAATCGTCGAAGCCTTGTTGACAGCTTTTCATATTATTAGACATTCGTTCATTAGCCTTTTTTCCATCAAGAAAACAGATTTATCTGAAAAGAAAGGAAAACAGTACGTTGTGGAAAAATTGTTATCGTTTCATGAATCATTGGAGACATTTTTGCTATACTTCCGGAATAATAATTAAACACGGAATGCTTTGTTAATGAGGAACGTAATCATTCTTACACCTTTCACATTATAAGTGTCATGCAAAAGGTTACACATAAGAAGTACAAGATTATTTCTGTTGTAATTGAATAATACAGTAAACGAATAAAATTATACTGTTATATATGCATAAATAATTAACTGTACTTAATCTTTTTTTATAGAAATACATTTCATAATTATAGTAACCATGAAACAAGGCATATTATTGTATTGTATTGATTAGCCTTATAGTTCAGCACTAATAGAAAAACATTTCAATTATAAAGTAACTTTAGTAACTAAAGCTGATTATGCTACACTCTAAATGAAATTAGAAGATGATAAGCTACATTTGGGTTTATTAATAAACGCAAAGAACATTTTATCAGTAAACAATAAAATGTTTTTTTCCCCTTTAATACATCCGTGTTTTAATTATATAAAGCGAGCCTAACAATTAAGCTGAATTATGGGTATGTTCCAAGTGAAGTTCAGAGAGTATAATTTTCTGATATTTTTATACTAAATATTTACTAATCTTCAATATGAATTTACTGTATTATATTAAATATAAAAGTAACTTAGTGAGATAGTACCAAAACATAATAATAAAGATCCATATAATAATATATTGTGTAATTATTAATATATTATTATAAAAATAAAATATCTATTATATTTCTTAATATTTTTACCTAACGTTGTACCATTTTTTTAATGTAAATTGGTTCGCTGAATCGCTTTGGGTATAAACGATGTATGTAATTTATTGGTGTAGTCATGATTATTGTAAATTCAAAGTCTGAGAAACGTACACGTACTAACATACATATGTGTAATACGTATGTCACGCTACGTTGAATCATTACGTCACTAATAGTGTGTTGGCCACAATTCTTACGTGCAATTTACGTGGAAGGCTTGAAGAAAAAAACTATGATCAATTGTGTAAGTGTTATGTGTGGACAACTGTATTGAAAAAACTGTATAAAAATGCAGCTAAAATCCTTTAAAATAGAGTTACAAGACGTATAATTTATACCAAAAGAATAAAGTATTTTTTAGGTGACCTTATCATTAGGCAACATCGTCTATTTACAGATTAATTAAAAAAAATCGATTAATTTTGTAAGAAAATATAGTACTATTTAAATCGGAGTCCAATTACATTCTGTCTACGAATTACGAATGCAACGCGTCGTAACATAATGCAGTTTGTTATGGAAAGCACGTCATATTTTAGTAAATAAATTTGTAGAACCGTTAAAACTTTCTTCGGTATATACCATAATATCTCAACATGAAACACATGTGACGTGTACTTCTTGTCCTTATACCCACAGATATCTGGTACGAAAACAATATGAGATATATTGTAAATGAAAACATATACATATATATTCAAGGGTGAGTGAATAATCATCCGGAATAAGGCTATAGCTTTTTTAGTGAGATTACATTGTGACTTATGCCTGCACAGCTAGATGTCTCTCTCTTTCTTTGTTTTCCGCATAGTTTTAGCTTAATAGTTTACACTCGCCATTCGTTTAAAAAGTACTCTCTCCCAGTTTTATAATTTATTTACTTCCTACCCTCATGAGTTTACAAATTCTAGCAGACCCAAGAATATATATTTTTTATATTAATTTGTATACCTAATATCTATTTATTCAGTACAAGTATTTATCACAAGTCTTACTCGGCGTTATAAGACAACAGATTAATGTGAAGATTGTATTAAAAGCTTTCTTTGTATCTTATCCTGAGAGATAGTTATATTTTAATTTACTTGGTCTACGAACATAAGCAATGCCATCTAATACATATATCGAAGACTTACAATTAAACAATGTTCCAATGATAGATGGAAAAAGGTACATACCATTCATTATCTTCCATTCAAAAACATCTCATTTGGGGTACATGGTAGAACTCATGAAACAATTGACCAAGATAAAAATGCTTTTTATCTCCTTGATAGAAGACTATGATAAAGAATATTGTAGAAATATATTTCTATTAATGCTTTAGTATTGTATCAGTTTTATGTAATCGTACATGTTGATTACATTGACAATATTTTGTTTGAACGTACATTTGTGTGTGAGCGAAGGTTTGAAAAAAATTAATGTCGTAAGTGTGATTGCGATGCTTATTGCAATTACTTCAATTCTCGCAACATCATCAGAATATAAGGAAAATTAAAAGACTATTAAGATTCAAGAAGCCTGAACAACTATACTCTACAAAAATATAAACCTATAATATGTTATATTTTATCGTCATTTTTACATTTTCATGAGATGTTCAGTAAATGAGAAAATGGGTTCCAACTTCTCTGCAGGTATGAAAATCAGAAATAAATATTTTATACTTCAATAGCAAATTTCCGTGGAATAATTATTAATCATTGTTTACGACTATGATAATCCTTAATGTGCAAACGCTAATTAAACTATTTGATAACGTGTTGTAACCATTATTTTGTAAATAAATGAAGTAACGTTCTCATTTTTCGGAAAGATTGAGTTGTTATTACCAGAGAATGCCAAGGGAAGCAACTGAAATTTTTTACACTTGATCGAATATTTCTTTCGAGAGAAGTACATCGAACACAATCTAATTAATTAGTTATACTCATGGCCAAGCAATTCAAAGAAGTCACGTTATTGAATTTCTCTCGACAAATTTACCTTTTAATACGGTTACACTGCAGTTCCGACATTTAACACCGACGAGTTAAGTGAGCTAATTTCGAACGAGCATGTTGAATCGACATCAGTAGGAAAAAAGTTATGTCATCTGATTAGTTAGAGTAGATCGTTTTACGCGAGCAATTGCGTCAAGCATCAAGACCTGAATGATCAACCGTGTAGAAACCATTTAAAATCACGTAGGGAAGTCATTTCGATGGTTTCAAGGAAATAATTTATTAATAGATAATTACAGAATCAAGGTAAAGTGAATTAATTAAGACTATTAAAATTACACAAGTTCGTATCTAGGTCGGAATAAGTTTGCTTCTAATCGCTCTATTGATCGTGAAACCACGAAGATTTTTGGCGCCAGATGGATTTGTGGGTAATAGAATAAATATTTGCAGGTGTGTAGATTTCCATGGGCTGGAAGAACAAAGAGGGGCAGGAAAGAACGAATCGGTTTGCCGTCAAGTGACAGTGTCTCATCGGCCATAACCGAGGCGAGAAGCAAGGAAAACCGAACCAGTCTATCGGAATTATGTATCGGTTCGTTAAGCAGTGAATGAAACGTCAGTAATTAAACTATACGTCGCGATATATGATAGCAATCGCGAAGCACGTTCACGGACACTCGACTTCCCACCTGAAGTATTGTTAAATCGTTGATCAATCTCGATCTTATGCAGGTCAATAGTGATAAAAAAGATGACAAACGTTGGAGATGTTAAGAAGAAAGCACCTGACGGCGGCTGGGGATGGCTCGTTTGCCTTGGCACCAGTTTAATAACGGTAATTATTCGTTTTTTTTTTCATGGAAATATGAAATAGCATTGCCACCGAATTATTCCTTGCCTATACTATTTTATGCACATGGCATAGATTTTTTAAATTTGTAAATGAAGGTGAGTAACTTAAATTCAAAATCTTTCATTAAATTATGTTTGAATTATAATTATATTATATATTCGATGCTCCGTTTCTAATTGAGATTAATTTGGAAATAACCGATACTGACTTTTCATGAGTATAGTTATTGGAAATCTATTATGTTAAACACAATTATTAATATTTATATTAATATTTATATACAATAATTTATATAGACAGTACTTTCTATATAAAGATATAAATAAACGAATTCGAAAATTGAAGAAAAATTATACAAGGCAGTAACCCTTCGACTCCAGTGTACATTTGCATATGTTACTCTCGAATAAATTTGAATTGTCTGAGAAAATGTAAAGTCTTATGCAAATACCCGAGCTCTTATGTTTTTGCATCTTAGTTCCACTTTTCTTGTCTTCTTTATTTCCTTTTGTGATATGCATACTTACGTAAGATGTTAACATTCTTATGTCACTGATTGTGAATACGTATTGTGTTTATTTTAGATCTGTTTTCACTCTCCTTAATGTCTCGGATTCATTTTTACTGACCCCTAATTCGCCAAACGGTATTAGTTTCAGTCATTAATAATCACTAATAAATGCTTGAAATAAAATAATAAATTGTAAGAAATTTTAGATATAAAGATTCTTTATCTTTACAACTTGTCGAAAAATGATTAAAATAATTCATTAATCAGTAAGAAAATAATGCGGAGGATAACTATTAACCATTCAATAACAAGTGAATTCAGAACTTTTGTTTATGTAAACTGACTTTCCGTTAGCCATTATTAATTTTTGAAATTATTGATTTTGCAATAATATATTAATCACGGTACATGGTATAAACCTACGATAAATTAAATTTTTATTCGTTAAACAGACATATGAGAATTAATTATGTTTTTGTAATTTACACAACAAAATATAAAAATTGTTTTTTCATTAACATTGAATGTAATTGTCACGCTTTAATATTTCGTAGATAAACCTTCATTTCTTCATTTCTAAGAACCGCGACACACCTTCGCGACATATACTCGATAAGCTGAGCACATTTACTAACAGGTATTGAATTCCATCCATCTTGTATAATAGCACACAATTCTTCAGTATTTTTCGGCTTTTGTTCTCTTATACATTCATCCATTACATATTAGAAGATTATACCATCCATTTCATTGTGCAAATTATTTCATTCAAATTAGTTGATTTATAACCCATTAGTGTTAAAAATGAAATTCGTAACATACATAATTACATTGCATCATTTAAAACTGTTATGGGAACTCTCGAACCAGAAAATTTCGAATCATTGCTCACATCATACATTCAATTTTCACCAATGAATACAATAGAAATTGTCTATAATGTTCAACCACAGAAATTTATCCATAATGCTGCGCTAATTGATAGATTACGACCCTATTACGGCCCTACCCTACGTCTCACAGATAGTTTTTTAACAGATTCGAATCGATTGTATCTAGATTTCTTATAAAGTTAACTCGACATTATTGTTTGAATATCCAGGTTAAATGTTTCTTTGCAAAAATGTTCTTAAATTGGCAATACTGATTTAATAATAGTGCTTCTTTTGTAACAACGCATCCTCATTATTTATCTAATCACGACAAGATAATTCTAATACATATCTATCGATCGAGAGCTATTGACATTTTATTTTAAACATTAACCGCAAATTAGATCCTTTTCTTGAAATTGCCAATAAATCCTATGAACAATTAATAAATCGCATTTTCGAGTTTTCGCTTTCTAAGGAATGCAGCCTGCTGTTCCATAGCATTTAACTTATTATATGGTTTAATCGAAAACAATAATGGATATGCTATAATGATAGTCCAACAGAAACTTACAGAAATTTTCTGATATGGCATCGATTTCTGCGCAGCTCTTCTACTCATCGTCTTTGTTTTGGTGTAATAATTCTTGTTCTGCGCAACGCAAAATTATTGCAACACGTGCAATTATCCATGAGTATTTTGACTTGACAATCCATGAGTATAATGCACGCAATTTACGACGAATCTAAAAAATTGGAGTGATACTTCATTCCTCATAATAACCGGACACTTCACTGCTAATATATAAGGTGTTTCATAACGATGGTTCAACCCAAAAGACTGATTCTATAAAAAAAATGAGTTTGAAAACTCGAAATCAAATTCTTTATTATAGATTATTTTACATTCAAAAATAAGTAAAAAAATGTATAACTAAAATGTTCGATTTGGAACTTTTCTTTTGGAGAAAAGTAAGTTTCGACTAGAATTTTCAAATGTCAATCTTTTCGCCATATTTTCAAACTGGATCTTTTTCATGCCGTAGTTTCGAATTCTTCAATTCTTTCTCATTTTTTATTTTCCAAAGCAGAAGATTTCTAACGAACGAAGTTTATTATCATGTATTAGAATATAAACGGCTGAAAAATAAAATATTGACACTAATATATGCTTTTTACAAGGGTACATTAAAAAGTAACAATAATATTAGTACCAGTGTATATTTGATAATATAATATAAAGTGTAAGCAAATATATGTCTGCCACTGTGTATCATATGTCTAAACAAATGTAAAATTATAATGTAAAATTATTTTTATAACGTAGTCCATATTCACGTTTATATTTCGCAAACTTCGATAAGAGATATTCACGTACCGATTGATTTACATATAGTATTTAATTTGGCACATCTTATCTCAACCAGTTGAGTCAACATTACATTCGTAATAAGACTAAGTTTTCTTTTCATGTTAACCAACATCTTTTAATTCTATTTTTATTCGAAAGTGTCTTAATTATTATTACAGTATTAGTTATATTATTATTATTATTATAGTATTAATATATATATATATATAGTTATACTATAGTGCTATACACATCATTATAAATATACTTGTAACACTATGCTGTCTTCTTCAGTTATCGTTGAGGTCTTTGGATCCATCGTTTGGTCTCCTTTTCCATGACCCTTTGGAAGAACTGAATATAGATTCTACAGGTGCGTCATTAATAATGAGCATCCTTGACGCCATCGTCAATTTTTCAGGTAAAAAACTACACTTTTTTAATTTTCGTCAATTCAATAATAACACAGTTGAAATACTCTTTGATCTAGCTGTTAGAATATATACAGGGTGTTTCATGCAACTGTGTCAGACTGTAACTTCGTTACCGTTGCAGTTACAGAAACATATCAAAGGAAAAAAATGAATAGCTTAAATAGTACTATTTTTGTAGGACCACGTTTTGTTTAGTAATACATTGCTGCCTTGTCAATTTGTAATTGCATCACTTTTTTAAATAGAAACGTATATAGTGTTCAATAATAGTGATCGCTTTGACTCAGTTATGAAAACAATCGAAAAGCGTTATCAAAGATGTTTATTGTATCATGGAGAAACATTTGAGCACCTTATTTCATAAAGACATTTTTCAAAAATATCTCGGTAACCAATAAATTTGTCATCACAGTAAACTAATACTTTTCTTATGTGGAATGACAGGAGGAATTTATCTATCTAAGAGAAAAATACACATTTCTATTTAAAAAACTGGTGCAATTTCAAATTGAAAATACACTAGCGTATTTCTAAAAGTAACGTGGCCCTACAAAACTAGTACTGTAACTACAATTGCAACGAAGTTACAGTTTGAAACAGTTGCGTGAAACACCCTGTATACTTAGCTCATCAGATAAATGTATACCTTTTAACACATTAGATTCTTTTTATGTCATGATACAAATTCGATTTTGATAAATGAATATCTCAGTATTAAATAATAACATTCAATACCTAAATATCTGATTCGTTTTGAACTGTTTTGATAATTTTTTTCAAATTCAATCTAAATCTTTTCGAAAGAGAAATACAGTGAAACAAACATTCTTTAACGATTATGTGTTTTCAAATGTTGTGATAAAGAACGGAACGAATATGATACAAAGTACGATGAGCCATAATTGAAAACTGTCTCGAATGTAACTGCGAATTTTTCTTTTGAAAATAATATTGTTTTTCCTTTGTTGCAGGTCTTTTTATAGGGCCGTTATTGAAAAGATTTTCTTACCGAAAAGTTGCTTTCTTCGGATCCCTTCTAAGCTGTACTGGACTGATATTAACATCCCGGGCTAATAGCATGCTCCACATTATATGTACTTATAGTATTTTAGGAGGTATGAAATAACCAATACGATCCTATAGCAAATATATTGCAATAATTATTGCAATGGTGTATTAAAATACTCATGAAGTTTGTAAAGTTACTTATACATTAGTATAACTATACATATAAGATACACTTTCCAGGTCTAGGAACAGGTCTAGCGATAGCTTCGTCTTTTGTTGCATTGAATACGTTTTTCGATAAAAAGCGAGGCCAAGCAGTCGGATTTTCCATGGCAGGAACCACACTAGCTATGATGCTAGTGCCACAGGTATGAAATGTAGAAGATTATTAACTTGCTTATTTAAAACATCTATTATTTGCTGATTGAAAATTCGCATAAAATGTGAAACAACAAATATATGCAATACCTATGCTATGATGCTATTGCCACAGGTATGAAGTCTAGAAGATTATTAACTAACTTATTCGAAGCATCTGTTATTTGCTGATTGAAAATTCACATAAACTGTGAAATAAGGAATGTATGCGATACCAGTTGTACACTCGACTTCATATAAATTCCTCGGCGAAGCTACCTTCGCCGAGGATAAAAGTATCAAAACGTTTTATCATTGACATTCTGTCTAGAGGTCACAATCTCAAATATGTATTATAGAGACACGTGTAATGTATATTATTCTTAGACATGTGTGTGCGTATATCAGATGTACGTATATTAATTCGTAATGTGGTCAAGGTGCCAGGTGTATTTTGAAATACTGACAACACTCTCCAATATGCTGTTAAAGTTTGTCAACGTTATCATATTTACTGGTATTTTGTAAATCGAAATCTTCGAACAACCAATATAACGTAAAAGTGACTTTTGAAGAACATTAATCGAGAACTATTAATCTACTTACGGCATTACTGACCCTCTAAGTACGGTATAGATATTTTTTATGGTTAGCGTAATTGAATTACGAAATATTAAAGTTTCCATTACTAAATTGTAATTAAAATGATACCGATGTAGAAACAAATTGAACGTACTACGTTCAATACAGTTGACAATATTATAATTACAAGAATTCAAGAAATTTGTAGGAAAGAAGAAAATATACTGTTTATATCTATTAATAGCTGATACACGTTCTTCTGGATTCCTATGGATTCCGAGGAGCTATGCTGATCATAGGGGGATGGGCACTGCATTCTGTAGTTGGCGCTTGTCTGTTACGGCCTTTAAAAACCGACGATGAAAAAGCTGTTAAAGAGGTAACCAAATAATTATTATCACTAAAATACTTCTATCTTTTTCCAGTTTATCATAAATAAGGTAAATAGGTGAAATCGGAAATAATAACGAACTATTTTGCTGATATATCGTTGAAAACACTTGAAATAAGAATTAGTTATCACAGTTTCATCTCTGACAGATCGCTGATAAACCACACGAAAGCGATACACTGTTACAAAAGAATAGCAATGGAGTGACAGAAGAAGTAAGAAATGACGGAGATCCTTCAAAAACCGAGACTCCGATAAAGAACGAAGCGAAACACAAGAAAAAGCGTGAGTCATATCTGAGCAAGATAAAGGAAACCTTGGATTTAGATCTTCTTAAAAATGGCGTTTACCTGAACGTGATCATCGGTTTAAGTTTGTATTATGTAGCTGAATCAAATTTCAAACTGATGACTCCATTCTTTTTATCTAGTATAGGTATGTAACATTTCTTGATTAACGAATTATCACCGTAACGAAGGATGTTCGTAAAGCATAATGAGATTCTGATGAATACTAGAAAATCTTGAAGAAAGATAATCAAATTAAAAAAATATTTTTGTAACTATTATTATCAATACACATAAATCTTACGCGCTGATAATAGTATTATCATTTCTTAATATTAAATATTTAACTATTTTTAAATAGGGAAATAAATAAATAGGAAGGAAATCATTTCGTTATTTAGCATTGAAGTTGATACGTGAACACTACAAACATAAAACTGAAATTTAAATTATTATTAACTGTAATAATTTAAATATTAATATATTTATTATTCAGTTTTATAGTCATCTAGAAGAATTGAACACGTTAGAAATTACTACTGTTACGTACTATTATTTTTCTTCGTATTTGTTCAGCTTTACAGTGATAAAAGAATAATTATCCTGTAAAACAAGAAGCTCTTCATGTTCATATGATATCCTCGCTACGGCACACAGTGGAACGAAACCTGAAAAAACGCGACAAATGGTTGAAAATCGATCGTAAAATTTTCAAATAGAATCACTCTTGCCATTTTCTGTTAGATTTCAAGAACGTGAAATATTTATTCTATAATTAAATGCGAAGTAGACTTCTTTTAAATGCTAATACAAAATATGAAATGCAATAATTTTGCACTTATATTAGTATAATACACCTGATCTTCCATTTACGTGAAATGTTTTTACGAAATAGTCTTACGCGAACGAAAATCGCATAAATAGAACCAGTTGATACAAAGGAAAACAAAATATTCTAAAGAAACGCTGGCGTATGTTTTGGAAATACATATTTATTCACATAGGTTAATAACAAATAATAATAATGACATTTCAGAAAATAAAAGTAAATTTTGTTCGTTGTCACTATCGCTACTGTGCATAATTCAAAACATGCAACAGTTTCCTTTTAATTCGCACAGGTCCATCATCCTCATCGTTTGAAATATTTGAAGGTTAGTCTTCAGATTCATTGTTAATGTTAATCTTCTCGGGTGATTTGTTCTCAAACATTTCTTTTGCTGAGTTTTCATCAATTTCCCGATATTTGCTGCAACATCTCTGTAAATCTCGTACAACACTAACGTGCTTGAACATCGCAGAATAATTTATAATCCGGCTTGTAGAAAACAAACATTATGAACTTTCTTTTTGGCGTGAGTATTATTGTTCACAAATTCTAGAAAAACATCTGTCTTCTTTGTACGCGTAAATTCAGATCGCGCAAATTAACATCAAACATAAATAGTACCGCGTAAATAATATTATCATTTACCAGCGTAAATAAGAAACTTGCGTAAAGGGAGTGCCACGTAAATAGAGGGTCAGGTGTATTCTGTTCCAGTAACATTATTGAAATATTTGGATTAGCAATAATTTTGAAGTAGTCTTAAAGAATACTATTAAAGGAATATTATATTATCTGTACATACATCGGAAGTACTGGTAAACGAAGTGCTCAACTTTCTATTTTCTTATATAATACGTGTTTGGATTTTCAAGAGTAAATAAATTGTTATACATTGTCTGTAGAAAATATAATGTAATTGAAAATTACACATGAATAAGGAAACGTAATCATTACCATCGATTTTTCGACGATTTATCGCGTTTTTTCGGGTTTCGTTCCACCGTGCGACATTGTTTAGGACTTCGGTAGACACCTCGAAGGAACTTAATGGTCGATAGGAATGTCAAACGTGGAAGTCGCCTTTTGCTTGTCGATAACAGCATTTACTGACATTATTGCTCGAATTGTACTGCCAACCATCTTCGATAGATTAGGATTTAAGAAGAGATCCGTGTTCTGGGTGTTCTGTTTTCTGGTCGGCATTGGACGATCCGGTAAGTTTTCCGTCAAACAATACCGTAGATCGACAAACTACTAAAAATTCATCGAATAATGGTCAAAAACATAATTACCAATTTTTAATTGTAAAAGTACAATTTTCGAAACATTATAATAGTCTCTAAACACGAATTAGTTTGTCACATTAATGCAAAATAGCAAAAAAAGTTCTTGATTGTTTCAAACAACAAGCAAGTGTTTACTCAAATGTCAAACTTATGATCCCCTGAACTTAGTAAACGTGAGATAACCTTAACCATTCATGTCAGATCTTCTCTTTGTAATTTTCTGTTTGTTCTGCAATTTATGCAGTTATGGCAGCCCAGTCGAAAGGAATATGGATGATAGTGACCTTCGTGGTAATAGGATTCTTACGTGGCGCCACTTTGGTTAATTTAAATCTTAGCGTCTCTGAGTGTTGCACGTTAAAAAAATTGCCAAGTGCGTTTGGAATGTTTATGGTATCCAAAGGCGTGTTTGTTATAATAATGAGTCCTTTTATCGGTAAGTTTCATGGCTTAATCACTTTTACATAAACCCTAGTACACAGAAAGTTTCACCGAATCAGTTTATAACAATTTCAGAAAATGTTAGATTCACAGAAAATAATTTATAAAATTTTCCTAAATAAACAACAATAAAAAATGAAATGATTTGTATATTGAACTGTGTCTATAAAATGATAAATAACCACCGTGACAACATGTAACGAGTAATGCATTTTACCAGATATTATCTGTTCTCAGGTTACATCAGAGATGTCAGCCAAAGTTACAGCCTTTGTATACACTTCATGACGCTGATGATAAGCGTTACCTTCATCACATGGAGTTTGGAATTCATTTATACTGCATTTAGAAAAAGAAGATCACATTTATCTCAGAAGAACAGAGCGAAAACCGAAGAGATATAATTTTCACATCTAAGTAGTGAGGTAGTGAGAAATAAATAGTCAATGGAATCATTAATGCAATCACTCGTTCTCGACATTTCTGAATGTTTGGTATTGCCATCGCTACATTTCTCTTAGCATTTGTTTAATCAAGTTGTTCCGAATATATATTTCAACAGAACATAGCGACGAAATGTGATAGTTTAACACGTCAACTATTCACCGAGTTTCGTACGCTTTACCATATACATAGATACCATATGCGATAGAATTTAGACGAATAATTCTATAAATTAACGATTCCTTGTCGTTTTTCATGACCTTGAAATACGCTGTCAGGAACGTAGCTCTAAGCAAGTATTTCTTATACATACATGTTACCGCCGATAGACCTTAGATTCTTAGATATTCGCAAAAAACTTTCACTACTATTTAGAAGTGTCGTCTAGAAGTGTTTTAAACAACTTTTATACTATAACTCTCTATAACCGCCACGCGGGCTTCACAAAACAAAAATGGAAAAAAGTGACATGGTGGTACGCATTGATTTTGAAAATTTCCCATTAAATGCAGAATCAAATAAACCTCATAGTATACATTTTACTTCATTATGACAATCTAACGAATATGTGAAATATGAAATAGCATGTTCTTAAAGTAATCTTTATTATTACTGAAATCTTTATGTTTATTTCATGGTACTAAATCCAGTAGTAAGGAGTCTTATTTTAACACTTAGGCAACCGCCTAAAAAGAACTATAAATACAACCTCTTTTATTATCTTCAATTGAACTCATTCAATTAATTTGGTTAAAAACTTCGTTTTGTAAAAGTAAGAACCGTATTTGATGAATTGCGAATAATCCCACTTCAAGACTTCGTAAACAACAAAAGAAAAGATAAACAGAATAAAAGGCAATACGTTGCTAAGTGGAAATTGGGAGATCTCCCCATTCGGTTGGTTAAGTGTTAAATATAAAAAGTTAAAAATCAATTCAACGCTCTGACGATCAAATGAAACAAACATTCAGAAAGTGTATTTAATCAATTTAATCAATGAACGGCCCGAATGTCGCTTTTTATCCTGTTCAACTGATCTCGTACGAGAAAAGCCATGGATACGCGAATAACGTGGTTACTCCCGTTCTGTTTCTCTCGCTAGATCTCTTATACGAAAACCTGTTGACTAATAAGCATAAGTAGAAATAGTTGAAATAATTCATAATACGCTATGCCAATGAAGTAATATTATCATAATTTTACTGTACAGTCTTATTTTTCGAGAAACCCTTCATAGATTTCTCATTTACAGAGGCGTGACCCTCCAGAAGCGAAAGTTATCATTGAAACTTTTAGAAGTAATATGTAAATTCCGCAACAGCATAAATGAAAACGTTGAATGGCGTGAATGTTCTGACACTCAATGTATAAATGGCGCCACGGGGGTCATCAATGACCTCCAATCAAATCAGTTACAACAGTTCATTCAATTAAACGATAATACTCATAAACTTTACGATTTTATTAATGATGTCATGTACACCAATGGCATTCGGCAAGATAAATACGCAGAATACGATAATACGGTACCGTTGAATTGTTTCACATATTTTACCATTATACACAGAGTGTTCATAAAAATCGGGCATACGATTTTTCAGGCATTTCCATCAACGCATGTTTCAAACAAAAGTTGTTTTTACCCTCAAGTTAGAGCTATAAGATTAGGAAAGAAAAAACCAAGTCATTTCAAAACATCAAGGTGACCTTGATTTTATTTTAAAGTAAAAGTTTTTTAACAGTTTTGCATATTATTGATTGTAGCTCACTTTAAATGCAACAACTTCTGTTTGAAACATTTTTTGATTACACAAACGAAAGTTTTTTTAACGTGTACGTCAATTTGATGAATATACTCTGCATATACATTTTGTTCATTGAAAATTTCAGCGCCGTCGCAAACATAGCAAAATTGTCTGACATTCAATGTTTTAAGAATGCATTTTGTTATAATTAGGTATAATTATCACCAATGATCATTGACGCATCATAATGTATTCGATTGGTATTACAATGACTGTTGATTAACATACGTTTTCTTTTATATCGTTTTCCAGCTATTTATATCATTGACATTATTATTATTAATGACAGTTGTCGTTAATGTTTAAGACATGATTGAAATTATATGTGTATGATATGTTATATGATATGTATATGAGGCAAGTTACAAATAACTATCGTTACAGTTGAGAAAGTGACTATCAGACTCTCTGACATAGATATTAGGCACAAGTGATGTTTAGGCTATGTGAAGAAAAGGTCAATAAAACAAAGGAACGTAATTGTAAGGTCAGTGGTTCATACTGATCGCATAGTCAATATAATGGTCGTTTAATATCCATAAATATTACGATCGTATGACTAATTGTTTATATGATACTTTCTAAGATGTTATTCTAATAACATAGTTTTACGAAAAAATGATAACTGCACACGAACCTGCACTATCACTCGGTTCTTGTACTGTATCAAAGATCATTTTATCCCTTGTATTAAGATTATTAGAAAAGAAAGTGATAAATAAATATTCATGTTATTATCTATATTTGGTGTTACATGCTTACTAGTTTTCCATGATCGAAAAGCTAACATTTACATTTGAATAAAAATTAAAGAGACCTTAATATGACTACACGCGTTATTTTATTTCTTATTTTAAATAGACGCAATTTAGAACGTAAAAAGCGTTTTATAATCATTATCTACATTATCCGACAGTCAAGGAATCCATTATAAATACGCAGTGAAATCTATAAGAAAGACTTGTATTCTCAGAGACCGAAATGCTATTTGCATTTCAATTTTGTAATGAATATTATTCGTTTATTGCGATATACAATTTTTACTGTCTCAAGTCAATCCATTTTTTCGACTATTTTGCTTACTAAACTCTTCTTATCAATGCAATCCTATATTATGAAGAAAATTCATGGAGAGATTTCATCATTCAATCATGTAATTCTCTTCAATTGCGAATTGTGATCAGTAACTTGTTTAAGTGTAAACAAAATCTATTTCAATAATGAGACAGGTAAAAAGAAATGATAATTTCAAGATATTAATTCGGACGTATGATTATTATTATATAAGAAACTATCTATGAAGACACACTACTTGTCATTTGAAATGCCATTCGTTGTCAGTCTTCGATTATTTTTATTAAGACATTGTTGTCTAGGCAGAACACATTTCAACGAACTTTAGAAATCAGAAATAATTAATAAATAATTACAATACATGTAAAAATATTACATACTAATTAGAAGTGGCCTCGATTAACATAGATAACAGAATTTCTTCTTAGAATTACTACAAAATAGAATTGTTATTACATCAGAATGGACTGTGACACTTGATAATCTCAAATAATCCAACATAAATAATAAAAATGGTCTAGTTAACGAAAATTATTTAAACTACCAGTTCAATACCAATTCGTTATTCTGTTGCTTACTTTTGCTTCGTCCATTCCATTCACAATTATAACGATAACTAATTTTTTCAGTGATTTTGATGGTTGTTCTCAATCATTTGATCTTTCTCCGTCTCTTCGGAATTCCCCTCTAAATTCTCTGGTTTCTCGACCGGCGTTACTGTTAACTTTTGCATTTCTTGACCTGCTTCTGTGTCTTTTCTCTCATATTTGTTCCAAGATTGTTCATCAGAAGTTCCAAACAGTGTGTACACAATACATCCAGCGATCGAATTAACCGCAGATATGATGAAAACTATACGCCACTGCGATACAGTTTGCTGTAAAAAAATTTAAAATAAAGATTTACTATTATTATTACACACTATTTCTTGTTATATTCAAATATTTCATTATTATTAGGTAATAGAATAAAAATCAAACTTTTCTACTCACGTTTTCGAACGTTAAAGCTCCGACCACTGCTGGTGAAATGAAGCCACACCAAATCATCATCATTCCGCAGAAACCAAGGAGAACGCTGGCATAGCTTGGACTAAGATCAACGAAATTTGCCAAAGTGGCAGCTGAAATCGCGCCGTTCACGGCAGTGCCCGTCATCATGAAAACTACGGCGAGGTTTGGATGACATCCACTGAATCCCAAACACAGAATAAGGAAGCCTTGCAAACCGGTGCACACGAATGTGGCTAGCTTTCTGACGTTAGTTATACTCATCTTCTTAGTTCGTATCAGCCAATCACTCATGATAGAGAAATAATACGAGAAAATCATTCTTAAAATGTGCGGAGCCCCTGAGAGTAGACCGGTCTAAAAAACAGATCAAATGCCCGAAAAATATTATTTTATCCATTCCTTTCGCTTTTTATGGTTTCTTTTGAAGAAACCGATAAAAATCATGAAATTTCCGAAGATATTCGAAACCTCAGAATCATATAAATACTACAAAATACGTGTAATATTGAAATAGGGATCTATACTGTGTTACTTTTAAGATAACAAACAATCCATTATAAATAAACACAACATAGATAACCTGAAAATATTGGAAACTATAAACTTGTAAAAACTCCTTTATCACAATATTTTCATCTACAAAATATATACTTTTATTCCTTAAAAATTCTCTCATTATTGAGAGCAATGTTTTCTTAGATCCACGTCATAGGATACCAATTGATGATTTCACTTACCGTGTTAATGTCCCAGCCGTGAATAAAATTGAAGTAAGTTGGAGCTTGAGTCATTAGTGTAAGAAATCCCCAACCAATACTCCATTGTGCAATAATAGTAACCCAAACTGGACCTGATAACAAGATGGCCCGCCATGGTATCTTGGTTTCCTCTTCGTTGACAGAAGTACCAAGGTTCTCCAAAATAAAATTCTTTTCATCTTCCGATATTCGGGGATGTTGTTGAGGAGAATCGTGTACCAAATATAACCAGAAACCGTACCTTTCGAAAAAAGTGATATCTTATTGGGTATATTATACGTCGTCTTTCGCGTTAGCTCCACCAACCACCAAGCTAAAAGTGCACAGGGGAAAGGGGATTCTTCCATTCACGATGCTCGGGCTGCCTCGATTTTTAACAAATAGCAGCGGTTTCCAACCTTTATGCTGCTACGTCTCCCTAAAAAAAATTTGTTTTTCGCGCCTCCTTATCTTTTAACACTAGAACTACCGAGCAGTTAAATTGTCTTTTTGAAATTGTTCTGTAGAAACCTCAATGGTGCAGTTACTGAGACTTCAGTTGGTTTGCAATTCAGTTAGTGTATTACTAAACCAGTTTCTCTAGTACTTTTTTAGAGAAGCATCTGTTATCTGTTGAATAACTGAAAAAAATGAAATCAGGAATCGATCATTTTGACCCATCCGATAGTTTTAGTGTTAATAGATGTAATAATATAGACACGTTTTAAATAATAATAACTTATTGCAAAATAAACATTTGTTCATTGAATTTGTTCTGTTACGTTACGATGTGAAGTTTATTTATTTGTCTTATTATGGTATGAACATTAATCTTCTATTAAAAATTTTGGTGCCTCTCAGGTTGGAAGCCGCGGACGCGTGATCATGAGAACAAAATTCTTTACAGTTTATAAAAATCGTGCATACGATTTTTCAGGTATTTCCATCAACGTATTTAACAAATGTTTCAAACAAAAATTGTTTTTACCAAGGCTTTCCAGCAAGGCAACCTTGATTTTATTTTAAAGCAAAAGTTTTTTAACAATTTTACATGTTACTGATTGTAGCTCACTTTAAATGCAATAACTTCTGTTTGGAACATTTTTTGATTATATAAACGAAAGTTTTTTGAACTTGTACGTCAATTCGATGAATACACTGTGCATATAGATTTTGTTCATTGAAAATTCGTGCGTCGAAAGCCGAGATAGCCTGAGCATTGTGAGTGGAAGAATCCCGTTGCCCCAATGCACTTTTAGCTTAGTGGTCGATGGAACTATGAGAGTTGCACTGTATTCATTCGAGAGTCAGAAATATAAACTTCAAGAACATGTAATTAACACGTTGAATGGCATGGGGTCACTTGCGACCCCCGACCGAAACGAATTACCCCTTTGTACTCGAAAGCTTTTTACTATTATAGAATTATTCGACACTTTCCGATGAGACATGAATGACACTATTTGAAACGAACTAATGAAGCCATACATAAATTAAGATACAAAGCGATTTTATAGAAATATTTCACATATTAATGCATTATATAAGAGTTAATATTATATATAAAACTCTGTAATTTTGTGATATCAAATCAAATGGTGACTGAGAGTCATCTCATGAGTGTACAGGGTTACTATAGTTCAATTTAATAAACAATGATTATTTGCAAACATTTTTATATCATAAATAATGCTATTTAATGTGGTGACTTTCAGCTGGATGAACGTACAATACTAATAATGCAAATGAGTCAAATAATTTGATATTATAATTGTTCCATTACTTGTATTTTGCTCGATAAAATCGTGTGGCAGTCAATGTGTTAATAGATGTATTTGATAAATCATAAAAGTATTATTAATTCTCACAACCAGAATAATCCCGAAAATGTTATTTTAAATGACGAATCAAAAATTGGAATTATTATACATTATCTGCTAATATTTGCAACATTTATAGATCAGACATATAAGGGATATTTGTTTAACTTTGTCAGAAAACAAATTTCTGAAAATGTAATTCTGTTAATATAAGAAACAGACAACAGTTTTATGGTTTAATCCGCTGTAAATTTCAGGAATTTTTTATAAATAGATGATTACCATATCACGCCAAGTAAAGATGTCACGTAAAAGGCTGCTCCCCAACCTAAACTATTACTGACAGCTGCGCACAACGGATAAGTTATAGCAGCACCTACAGAACTACCTGAAGAGACATGTATTTACCAAATTACTTATGTAAATCAATTTTTCTAATAATATTTTATAACTATAGTACCACTAATGAGAGAAAGGTTAATATTAAATAAATATTTTTATCTGTATCATAAATAAAAAAAAAAGTGCGAT